AAAAAAAAAAAGTTGGAAGCTCAACCAACTGAGCCACCAAGGTGCCCCCAATTTAACCCATTTTATTTATTTGTTATTTTTTAAAAATGTTGTTGTCAGCTAACATACAGCATAGTCTTGGCTTCAGGAGCAGATTCCCGTGAGTCCTCACTTCCATACAACACCCAGTGCTCATCCCAACAAGTGCCCTCCTCAGTGCCCATCACCCCCAACTCCACAACTGCATTTTTTCTCTGTATTTAAGAGTCTCTTATGGTTTACCTCCCAATCTGTTTGTAACTTACTTTTCCTTCACTTCCCATATGGTCATCTGTTAAGTTTCTCAAATTCCACATATGAGTGACTTCATACAATATCCATCTTTCTCTGACTGACTTATTTCACTTAGCATAATACCTCCAATTCCATCCATGTTGTTGCAATTTTTTCAGGCTTATTTTTATTTATTTTGAGAGAGATAGAGAACAAGCGGGGGACAGACAGAGAGAGAGAAAGAGAGAGAGATAATCTCAAGCAGGCTCCTCACTGTCAGTGCAAATCCTATATGGGGCTTGACCTCACAAACCCATGAGATCATGACCTGAGCTGAAGTCAAGCATTGGACCCTTAACAGACTGAGCCACCCAGGTGCCCCTTAACCTATTTAAAAATGTTAACTCACATCTGTTTGAAATCTCATCTCCTCCTATTTTCCCTGTTCAGCAAAGTTTCCACCTAAGGGATTTGAATTGGGAAAGAAGTGGGATCCACTTTTTCCCTCTCTCCTCCCTTTCTTTTGAGACCCTTACTCCTCCCAAGAGTTGGAATCCAAGATGGAGAATGGCTGCAAATGTCCCTAACTTAGCAGCTGCAGGTGTGCTCCTGTATTGTCTGCTGCTCTTTCCCTGTTCAAGGTCTGTCAGTCTCTGATGCCCTGGGAGAGGCTCCCAGCTAACTGCTCTATCTCCTGGGTCACACATGCAAACTATTTCCAGAGGCAACGTTGGTAGAGGTGGTTGGGGAGTTGTCCCGATGCACTGTGTTGTGTTCTGGAAGACCTGCCTATCTCAGTCAGTTTGGATTCCTCCTGCTCAACTCTTCTAGAACCAAATCAGTTCCCATGGTGGAATCTACCCCACAGCTTTGTAAGGTTGCAGTCTCCTCACCTGGTGGCCTGGCCTCTTGAAAACCAGAATGGCTCAATGGAAATGACCTCCCGCCATATTCTTTTCATCTATGGGGATCTCATAACATTGTGGCCATAACAAAATATGATGTAGGCTGCTAATCCTTTTCTCTCTCTGACACACACATGCATGCACACACGGCCTCTCTCTCTCTCTCTTTCTCTTTCTCTCTCTCTCTCCTTCCTACTTAACTACTTAAGTAGCCACAGTGACCTGCTGATGAGTAAGCCCACCCACTTCTGTGAGAGGTTCCTTTTCACTTACTCCTCTTTACTTGGCCTGGGCTGAGGAGTGGGGCACGTTCATCCTCCACAATGGGAAGACCCTCAGGCTTGTCACCGGCCATTCCTCAGCTCATCATGTTTGAACATAGCGTTAGGTGCGTGTTGAAGTGACGGTTGTGCTGAACCGCTATGGTTACGTCCTCCAAAGGCCAGGAGAGGCGTCCGGGCCTTTGTTGTCTTGGGTGCTCTTTAGAATGAAGGAGGCATGACACCTTTTTGTCATCCTTTGAGTCATGGATGACGACGCCAAGGCAACAAAGTCCCCATTCGACATCCCGTCACCTGTTACACTTGCTGGATAGAATCTGCCTGGAACTGTGCACATTCTCCCAAATGAAAAGTTCTAGGCTGGCAGCGAAAACACACATAGTAATTTAGGAAGGACAGTTTTGTGATTTATGCAACTGCCAAGGGAGAGCAGCTTCGTTAGACCACTCGTGAAATGACGTGACTAAGCTTGCTGGCTGCTGGCTGTGGGGGCTGCTTGGGCTGGCGCTCAGGGATGTGGGTGAGAAGTGGAGGGAGCCTTCTGTCTCTCTGAATCCAGGCCATATGTTTAGAGCTTTTCTCTGAATTCAAAGGGTGGGGGGCCGGGGTGATGGGCAATTATTGTCTCTTGTAATGTCTGGCGGTTGATGGGGGCTGTAATGCAGGGAGGAAGGAAATAGTTTCACACTCTTCAGATGTACTTGTGATATCAGCATGAAATAGAAGCCTGTGCCAGAGATATTTTAGAGTATGTAAGACGGGGTTTACCGTTCGGTGGGGTCAGACTGCTGTGGGCCAACACACCCAGAAGCCTGGGGAATTTCTCCCCCAGACAGCTAAGTAGACTGACACCAGCTCTTCCTCCATGATTGGCGTCGGTGTTTTGAAAGGAAGCTTTTTTGAGGAAGGAGAAATTGACACACATCAGAGGTTACATAATAGGTGAATCAAAGTCCTCAGTGTCACAGTGTCTCTCAATGACACAGTGTTACAGTGGGGGGGGGGAGTGAGGGTGGGTTTCTTTCCAGTACATACCATCTGTTGTATCCTTTACCCCTAAGATGAAGTCCCCTCAAAAGTCGGCTGCCTTTGGTATGCGGGTGCTCTACTGATGGCCTCGTCTTTTCAAAGTGAACCTGAGCAGTACTTTCTGTTGGCCTGCAGCCCTTTCCCACAGTTCCAGAAGGGCCTCTAGTTCTGTCTCTTCTCTGTGGAGCAGACACATTCTCCCACTCTCTGCTCTCTACCTTGCCTCTGGGAGAGAGCCAAGGTGACAAACCTTGACTGGGTGCCTCAAAGCTCATCCCAGGCTGAAAGTAACCCCGTGAAGCTTATTCTGCAAAGGAGGGAGAGCAAGAAATGTGGCTTTTCTTCAGATTCTTAAATTCTACTCCAAGCTCCCCCTGCCAGTGAGAAGTTCAATCTCAGTCATCACTGGGGCTCCCTGCTACTCACACAGAATGTCATGCAAAGGTGCTGGGGTTCTTATCCAGAGCAATTGGGGGGGGGGCTTGTAAGTTTTTGCCCTTCTGGGTCACTGATAAGCTATCCATCATCTGAGACTTCATGGCCTCTTGACTTCTAGTGACTTAGTTGATTGATTCTGTGTCAAATTAGGGCCATAAGGTGGGGTGCCTGGGTGGCTCAGTCGGTTGAGCATCTGACTTTGGCTCAGGTCATGATCTCTTGCTTGTGAGTTCAAGACCCGCATCAGGCTCTGTGCTGATGGCTCAAAGCCTGGAGCTGCTTCAGATTCTGTGTCTCCCTCTCTCTCTGCCCCTCCCTTGATCACACTCTGTCTGTCTCTCTCTCCCAAAATAAACATTAAAAAAAAAAAATTAGGGGCATAAGAATTTGTGCCAAGGATGGTGAGTGGGGGCCTACACTTCCCTGGGGATCCCTCAGCTCTAGTGCCTGTTGCTAGTCCCCTCCTGAGGTTCTGCCAAGGGGTGGAATGCGGGTCCCCACCACACTGCCCTTCACACCTGTCCTTCCCACTTTCGAATAATCTCTTCTCCTTTCCTTACTACTGTCCTTTCTCTGCCCTTCAGGGATGCCTATTAGAACCACCCTATGGAATTTAGGCCAGAGGTAACTAAAGTGTGGCTAGAAAAAGTTTTGGTTGGCATGTGTCATGTTGTTATTGTTTTTTTAACTGAAATTAGGAACCTGCATTTAAAAATCAAATGAGTTCACATGAAAATCTAGTTTCCTAGGGAAAATTGGAAGATCTGGCTTTTGCCACACAGCAATAACCAGTGGGACAGAGAAGGGCTGTGCTTTTAGACGACCACAGTGCTCTGCCTTCTGTCTTGGTGCAGCCCAGCATTCCTCACTAGGTAATAGCACCCGCCCCACCTGAAGGAGTGTTTGACTTTGGAGCTCTCTGCTGTGGTCTTTCACAAGAGCCAGGGAGACCAATGTTTTGGGGGAGGGGGTGGAATATCACCCTTGGAAAACTCAGAATATAAATATAGGCCAAGGTGAGGGGGTATAAAAATCTGGTCATCTTTGCAAAACCAAAAAAGAAACAAATGACAAAGTAAGACCAGAATAAATCATCTGTCCCCACGAACAAATAAAAGTGGCTACACATTCAGAGATTTCATTATGGCCCAGGCTCCTCCCTGAAACAATGCCAGTTAATCCTCACAAATACCTATACACCCTGTCTCATGGATGGGAAAACTGAGATTCAGTGGAAAGTGACTTGGCCATATCACAAAGCTAATAATACTGTGGAACTTGGAATACAGGTATGCATGACTCTTTGCTATGAGGCTACCCTGACTCTCTTACCATGGGTATTAGTTCCCCTTCTTCAGTGGAGTAAAAGCACCTAAATCCATTGCCAAGTTTAATGATCTCAGGCGTGGAGTTGGAAGTAAAGTCATCCTGACACTAAGTGAGCACCAATTAATACCTCCACTCTCTCCCACTGCCAGAAGGAAACTATTTTTAAAGACTCTCTGGAAGGTCAGTGTCTGGCACCATGCTTTTACAAATAGTGTTCATGTTGCTACTCCTGCTAGCTTGTCTGAAATTGTAGTAAGTGCACGTGTGTGTGAGTGCATATGTATATGGTAAGGAGGGAAAAAGAAGAGGGAATGGACTCAAGAAGGGAAACATAGCTCCCAATCCTTCCTATCTTGGGCCAGAAATATTGCTAAAAAGATAAAAACTATAGGGATATACTATAACTAAAATGTTTTTCTAAAACGTAAAACAGCTCCAGAAAAAGGCTTAACGTGAGTCAAAATACTTTGTTTTCTTCTGTTGTTTTTTTTTTTTTGGTAGGAATTCATAGAAACAGAAAGCCAGAAATCTACCTAATATGATAAGGTTTTAGGTTGATGATTCGAATTTGCACGTACGTGATGAGTCTCACATTGTCTACTAGACAACATTTTTATATCTTATCAGCTTTTACGTAAGTAAATGTAAGCTAACGTATGATGATTTATGCCAGAACTGAAGTTACCACTGTTTCCTATCACAGATGAAAAAATTAAATTATAGAACAACAGGTGAAGAAGAGATAGATGCAGATTGGCATTATAATTTCATTTCCAGATGGGATACATGGGGAATTTTACGTGCTTAGTTTTGTACAGTATGTGAAAAAAGGACCAACTAAGTTGATGACTTCAGAAGTTCTGATGACACGATTTTGAGAGTCATCGTGTTGTTCAGGGAAGTGGAGAAATCCAGATAAAGGGAACTAAATGAAAATTTTACTGTGTGAAAAAGTTTAGTCAATTTTACTGATTCGTCAGATTTTTCTTTTCTGATTTGCGGTTTTTCTGTGACATCCAGTGATGGTTTACAATGTAGCTTTTCAGCCCTGCTGGGGATCCTAAAATGAAACAATGAGGTGTATGAATCGCAATTCCTAATTCTTGTACAGCTCCTAACTTAAAGTTTGTTATTGCTCATGTAAAAGGATAACCAAATGGCATTTAATACATTTAGGTCCTGAGCTAGGAAATGATGTATACTACTATTATAGTATAGCTGAAACGGAGGTTCTGAAAGGTAAAGTGACTTGCCTGAGGTCACCTAGCATGTTAAGTGGTGGAAGTAGGTCCCAAATTTTGATTTCTGGGGATATTTTTTTCCATCGGAGACACTGGTTTCATTGCTTTGGCTTCCTTTTGTCTAAGGTTTAAATTAAATAAGGTTTTATGCCATTATAAGCTTGTATTTTGCTTGCTGTTATTGATCTGTTTGATTTCCTTTGAGTATTGTCAATGTGGACACATTTATTAGACTGCCCAAGGAGAGGGTACATTAAATAATGACATTGATATTGTATCAACAAAATTTAGACTGTGGCAAACTCCACAAGATACATGAACAATTGCTTTAGTAAAGAGTTTCGAGGGAAAAAAAATGTGGGAGCGACCTATTCATTAAATGAGACAATGGACAGATCAACCAAGTGGAACTGTGTTTCAGAACATCTTTGGATCCCGATTAGAACCAAACAACTGAAAAATAATTACTCGACAACTCTTCAGGGAAATTTGAACAGTGTATACATAAGGGTTTTAAGGAATTATTTTTCAAAATTTTAGGTAAAATAATGCAATTGAGTGAAGTGAAGATTTTAAGATTCTTAAAATCTTACCTAAAAATCTTTCTCTTTTAGAGGTAGATAGCGAAGGAGATGAATTGATACGATATTAGGGGCTCCCTGCAAATTAAGGGAGCAGATGAAGATTGGTCTTTAAATGATAATTGTTGAAGCTGTCTTCTGGGTACTTGATGGTTCACTGTATTATTGCATCTACTTTCAAGTCTGTGTGTACATCTTAAACAAAACAATGCCTTGTTCAGTGGCGAGCCCAAAGTAGATGATTACTCTGCTTTTATATTGCATCATACCTTATTTCAAGGAGCTCTGAAGGGAACGGAAAAGGGTTTTAGAAGTCGTCTAGCCCAGTCTCCACATCCTTCTCCTTTTCTTTTGGGCACCAATGGGAGGGGAGAGGGGTTGAGGATTGTTTTTTCCTCCTTCCTCTCTCCCTCCACCCCGCCCGAGGTCCCTTTTCAAGCTAGATAACCTCCAAAAGATTTCTCATCCTTCCTAAAATAAAGCCTGAAGGTTGGGGGGATACCTTGTTTAATTGGGGTCTTGAGTGTGCTAATTAGTTACTCGATTGTCGGGGGAGGGGGCAGAGAGTCTATACTTTCCATTTCCCCACCCACGTGACAATGTTTTTGTTTCAGGGTAATTTCTAAAGTACAGGAAATTCTCGGAGAGTTTACGTCACCTCCAGCAGTTACAGTAATTACCGTATTGTCGCGACTTGCATTCAAAACGCGAACACTCGCGGGGTGGCGCGAGTCCTACTTAGAGACTCTTCAGTTCAGACTTCAGTCTGAACGTCGTCTAGGAGACAGTGTGAGATTCATTAGATCACTCTGTGATCTAATTTTTAAGCAGTAGTGACACTGGGCATCTGAACGGAGCCAGTTTGGTGTGTGCGCGCGTGTGCGCGTCTTCAGTCTCTGCTGCTCGATTTCCCAGGTGTGTCTGGGGGGAAAAAGCAGAGAATACAGCACCTTCACACTCCACGGAGGGGCGCTGCAGGCCTCCTTTGCTGCAGTAGTGCGCCTGCGCAGTCGGTCCCCGCCAACTCGCCCGCCTTCCCCCGTCCGACTAGCAGGGGGCGCTGTGAGGTAATGGACTAGTCCTTCCCTAGGGCTCTGGAACGGAGCGTAAAAGGGCAGGAGGCGAGGCGGGCTGAGGGGCGTTCTATCCTCGACTGCCCTGGTCTCTATCACCCTTTGTCCTCCAGCTCTCCCCCGGCGCTGGGCCTGCGGGCCTGGTTGCTAGGCGGAAGCGGGGCGCGGCGGCTGCCCGGGCGTTTGAAAAGCGGCAAAGCAGGCGGCAAAAGGTCCTCCGGCGGCGGGCTCGCGTCTCGCTGCAGACAGCCGGGGGGCCGAGCGGCCGAGCGGCCTTTGCCTGGCGCAGGGGCAGGGCTAGGGCTGGGCTGGCGGCCCGGGGCAGGGGGGCCGGGCGCGCTGCCGGCGGCGTTGGGCCCGGGCCGAGGAGCGGGGTCCCGGCGTCGGGCGCCGCGGGCGAGCGGTGGGAGCCCCCCTCTCGGCGGTCGCGGGCCTCCCGCACCTCACCCGGGCCCCTCTTCCCCCGCGCAGACCCCGCCTGCGGGCCGCCCACCGCGACCATGGTCTCCAAGTCCGACCAACTGCTCATCGTCGTCTCCGTCCTGGAAGGTGAGCGGCCAGGGGCAGGTTTGGCGCCTGCAGCCTCCGGACTTTTCACCGAGCGGCGTGCGACGGAGGCTTTGCTAACCTTCGGAACGCTGTCGTCTCTGCTTTTGCGGTCCCCCCAGACTGGTTCAGAGGTGTACTTCGTGAGGCCTGTTAGGCGATTGATTTCGCAGACTCTCAGGGGAGCGCGAGAGCTATTAGGGATCGGTGGTATTTAGCGTGAAGCGCCGGCGCCCCAGAGAACGTAGGAAAAACGATTTCCGTCAGAAGCAGCGCGTCGATGACTTTTACGCGGAGGCTAAGGTGCCGGGGAAGCACGTTCGGCTCGGGGGCCCCCGGGTGATCCCATTTGTGAGAGCTTTGCTGTCGAATCCGTATTTCCTGCGGGCCGAAGTACTGCGGGGGCCATTCCCTTTACAAGTCTTGAGAGGGGACTTAGGGGGACTCTTAGTCAAGACGGTCTGTTAGATACATTCCTAGAAGCCTGGTTTGTTGACTAAAGTGACCTTTGTTTATTGCAGGCTCGCTGAGGGTCAGGCACTGTGCTGGGAATGTAAGGCTAAAACAGCCAGGGTCCTAAAACCTAAGTCAGAGTATAGCCTGGAGAATGCGTACAATTAATGACGATGTGGGAGAAGGAAAAGACCAGCTCTGGGGAAGATGTTCCCGAGGAGGTGACATTTATTTGGGTCCTAAAAGGATGATTAGGATGGGGGGGGGGGAGAGGAAGGGAGGGCTCTCCAGGCAAAGGGAAGAGGAAAGAACACTTAAGGTATGGAAAGACAAGGAATATTCTGCCCCTGCTCAAATTCGGTGTGGTGGGAGAACAGTTGGAGGAAAGTGGAGGGCGTAGGAATTGCCAGGTAAATTGAAGATAAGTTTAAAAAAAAATTTTTTTTAATGTTTTATTTATTTTAGAGAGAGAGAGAGTGAGAGCGCGCAGGGCAGGGTCAGAGAGAGAGATACAGAATCCAAAGACAGGCTCCGGGCTCTGAGCTGTCAGCACAGAGCCCGATGTAGGGCTCAAATCCACAAACTGTGAGATCATGACCTGAGCTGAAGCCGGATGCTCAACCGACTGAGCCACCCAGGCGCCCATAAGATAGGTTTTGAATAACCTCACAATAGTCATCCTGAGTTGGGCTGAGGAATGGCTGCCCCCCACCCCCATTGGAGGTATTTTGTTGGAGGCCTGGCACTATTTTGGGGGGTGTGAGAAGGAATGAGTAGTATAACGGCTTTTGGAACAGAAAACTGACCAGAAGCCATAAATTGGTGGGACATTTTTAGCTGTTCTGTCCCTGATTGTTTAAAGACCGAGGGCTGAAATCCCTTTGTAATTTGTCAAGAAAAGCTTCTGGACTTGGTACTTGCTTCCTGCTGTGGGGAAACCCAAATGAAAGGCACTCTGTTTCCGTTCAAGGATGTAGGATTCTGTCTTCTTTAGAAGATCAAAAATTCACAGGCAGGACACAGTATGTTGGAATGCAGTATAATATTAAAAATACGGGATGTAGGGGGCGCCCGGGTGGCTCAGTCGGTTGGGCGGCAGACTTCGGCTCAGGTCCTGATCTCTCGGTTCTTGGGTTTGGGCCCCTCTTCGGGCTCTATGCTGACAGCTCAGAGCCTGGAGCCTGTCTTCAGATTCTGTGTCTCCCTCTCTCTCTGTCCCTCTCCCACTCACTTTCCGTCTCTCTCAAAAATAAGTAAATGTTAAAAACTTTTTAAAAAACCAAAAAGTAAAAATATGGGATGTAGGCTGTAAATATAGGTTTTGGGGGTGGGTGGGAATGACGGCTTAAGGGCTGTGAGTAGTTAAGTAATGATGGAAGAAAGTCCTTGCCGGCCCTTAGCTAACCCAGGCCAGGGGTGCCTGTGTGACTCATGCCATTAAGTGCCTTTCTCTTGGCTTCTGCTCAGCTCATGCTCTCAGTTCATGAGTTCAAACCACTCATCGGGCTCTGAGCTGACAGTGCTGAGCCTGCTTGGAATTCCCTCCCTCTCTTCCCCCTCTCCCTTTCCCCTTTCTCTCTTTCTCTCTCTAAATAAATAAATAGCCTTAAAAAAAACAACAACAAAAAACCAACCAACCAGCAAACCCCAGGCCAATGATGGAATAATTATGGTGGCTGGAATGATGAAGAGTTCCCATAATGACCAGGATCAAGGGAGGTGAACATTGAAGAATATTCTGGTAAATAAGCTTGTGGAGCTACAGTGAATAGACCTTGGAGGATTTCGAAAGCCAAGGAGTTTAATGTTCTAAAAACTAGGGAGGCAGACTGTATTTGTAAATAGGAGAGGATTAGTTGCAGGCGCGTAGTGGTGTGCAGAGGAGAGAACCTACATTCAGGGCTGTCAGTTAGGTGTTGCCGTAAACATACCTCAGAGTGGACCGTGGACCTCCCTCCAAACGTCTCCTTGTGTGTTTGTGTTTCCGTTCATCACAACCGAGTTGTTGCCTCAAGCCCAGAACCTGAGAGTCCTTGTCTTCCAGACGGTCACCAAGGTTTGTTGCTAAAATCATGCTGGGTGCTTCATGTAAACTTCTAATGAGGAGGTTTCCACTGTGAGTGCCCTGCTTTGAGGCCCTGATCTGTCGTAATCTTTTCAGTGGTCTGTTTCATAAATCCCACCCCCCCCCCCCCCCCCCCCCCCCCCCCCCCCCCGCCTTCAGAGACTATCTCCTGTTCACATTACTATCTAGGGATGATCTTTCTGAAATGCAAATTGTCTTAAAATTCCACACCGTCCTAAAGGATAAGGTCTGTACTTTTTAGAACAGCATTCATGGCCCTTTCTGGTAGGCCTCTCGCCTGCTTTTTCGGCCTCCTCTCCTCTCTTGCCATCTGTTGCTACGTCCCCATCTCATCAGCTACCTGCTCTTTCTTGACTACGCTTCTAGAAATGCCCATCATTCAGAAGAAAATGATGACGTTTTTACCATGCGCCAAAGTTGGGCTATGGGCTGGAATCCCAGGGCGGAAAAGACAAGGCTTCTGTTCCCAGGGCACTGTGGCTGGAGTGAGCCAGGCGCCTCTTTGTTCCAGTACTTAGCTTCTGTCCTCAGGCTAACTGGACGGCACAGTTAGGTGTGATGATACAGGCTCTTTGACAGAAATGAAATGCACTTGGGGAACCCCCCATGATCTTTTAGAGCAGCTCAGGATGATGTCCAGAGAGCGGCCTCTGTGAGTGCTCGTTGGGAGAAGCCTGCTTATACATTTGTGCTACGGCTCCTAAATGGGGAGCTTCAAGTGGAAAGTCAGAGCTCTGCGATCAAGATCTCTCTGACCCCTGCACCTCCTCCTGAGTAGAGTGTGGCGGGGCAGTAGCAGCTGGGACGTATTTACTTAACACGGGTCTCAGCACCGTGCCCCTCTCCACACCTGCAAACAGGTTGACTCTGAGATTCTTTAGTTTTTCTGCTGTTTGCACTGTTTGCAGTTTGCTTCACTAGACCCTCAGTTCCTTGAGGGCATATACTCTGGTTTACTCTTTTTATGACCTGTCATTTGACAGAGTTTACACCGGACTCTGGTAACGGCTTCAGTAAACAGTGAAGGAATGGGGTCAGGCAGTACCAGTGAAAAGTGATCCGTAGACAGAATATTTTTTAAATAATTGACCACATTATCCTTGAGATTTGAATGAATGAATACATGTGTCTGCTTTCCTAGGGCTAATTTGCTGAGTGTTCCTGTGTTAACAGGAAAATTAGGCTGTACATTGGTTCGTTTTTGATTGGTTCCCAACTCTCCGCATGACATGACGGTTCTATATTAACTTCTGGTATAGTAATATCCAAAATTGGTGGAATCACATTTTTAATTCTTCTAAATGTTCCTGAGATCGTTGCTGCTCAAAGTGTGAATCAAGGACAACATTGACATCACGTGGGGGCTGGTTAGAAATGCAGCCTCTCGGGGTGCCTGAGCGGCTCAGTCGGTTCCGTGTCTGACTTCAGTTCGGGTCACAGTCTCCTGGTCTGTGAGTTTGAGCCCCACATTGGACTCTGCTGACAGCTCGGAGCATAGAGCCTGCTTTGGAGTCTTTCTCTGCCCCTACCCCATTCACACTCTGACTCTCAAAAATGAATAAATGCAAAAAAAAAAAAAAAAAAAGGAGCCTCTTAGGCTCCACCTAATGAACCAGAATCTACCTTTTAACAGGGTCCCCAGGTGATTCATGTGCACGTTAATGTTGGAGAAGCACGCTTTTGCAAATTGTAGCCTTCAGTTTGATTCTTATGAATCATGAATTTGCACATGAGAGCACACGTTCTTAGGGAGTTAGTGGACTATATAAGTCAACAACTATTTATGTATATCAGTTTTTAAGGGGCACCTGGGTGGGTCAGTCGGTTAAGCTCAGGCTTAACCTTTGGTTCAGGTCATGATCCCACGGTTCCTGGTTTCGAGTCCCACATTGGGCTCTGTGCTGACAGCTCAGAGCCTGGAGCCTGCTTCAGATTCCGTATCTCCCTCACTCTCTGCCCCTCCCCTGCTCACACTGTCTCTTTCTCTCTCTCTCAGAAATAAAACGTTAAAAAAAATTTTAAACGTGCTGAAAGATCATACTTGATTTTTGTACAGTTCCGGTTAACCTGTATAGTCCTTTTCTTCCAGGTCGTCATTTCCCCAAGCGTCCAAAGCATATGCTGATAGTAGAAGCAAAGTTCGATGGAGAACAGTTGGCCACTGACCCTGTGGACCACACCGACCAGCCAGAATTTGCTACCGAGTTAGCCTGGGAGATCGACCGGAAGGCTCTCCACCAGCACAGGTGCCTCCCATTGTCCGTTTGTTCTGCTCTAGGCCTGAGGCTGCTAGAGACAAAGAAAGCTGTATCTTTCTAGAGCATAGTAACAGTGATAATACTTGTTTAGGGGTTTTCTCATGTGCCAGGAAATCTTCAAAGTACTTTGCAATAATAATAATTCATTTGAACATCAAGACAGTCTTATGAGGTGGGTGTTAGGATTTCCCGCAATTACAGATGAAAAAACTGAGGCCTAAGAAGGTAAGTAACCTATTATAAGTCAGTCCCCTGAATAATAGGAGAGCCCAGCCCGCTGAGTTGTAGAGCCCAAGTTTTTAAACTATTACACGTAGCTTTTTTCCTGATGTCTGAGAGAAGAGATATTCTAGAAGTGCTGTAATGATGCCTACACAATATTAAACATGGATTGGAATTGATTGTAATTTCTGTTACTTCCTTTATTATGTACTTTACCTGGCTTGCCAAGGATATATAGAGATATGTATACAGTAATTCCAGAAGGGTCTCTAATTAATTTCATACTTGATTTCAGACATTTAAACACTTGGTATCAGTACATAAAACAGGCTTAAAGCTACAACCTACTACTTCATGAACTCAGATGACTCGAAATAGGCAAGAGCACTTCTATTTTAAGTAGGATCGAAAAACCGTATTTTTTTTTTTTTCTGGAAAACACAGAATCACTTCATTCCTGCTGTATCTTAGGACTAAAGCAAATACAGTGACGAACTTAGAAAATGAACATAAGAAGCAATTTATTTTCTTCTGTGGCCAAATCAGTCCATGGATTTGTTTCGGGATTTTCAAGGGCATTAAAGTCCTAGAAGATCAAAATTTTGTGTTCAGTGACTTCCGGAATATCTGCACAGAGTCCTGACATGATATTGGTGCCCACAGCGTTCACAGTAGTGTTAATGCCAAGGGCACCATTTCGCATGTGGGAGGCCGAGAAAAGAACAAGATAAATTGCATGTATATAAATGATTGTGTGCCAAGTGCAAGTTTTATAGTCATTCCATTAGAATACGGTGATGGTCAAATGCAATGAGCTCATTCTATGAGGCAGTATAGAGGTTTCAGACTGGCAAGAACCCATGCTATACCAGCCAAGGTCATGCTTACAGAACATTGTCATGTATGATAATAAATTATTACTTGCAATAGTCTGTGATTTTTATGGTATTTAATTCTGAAGTTGATTTCATTTTAGGGAGCAAAAGAGCTTTAAGCATATATGTGTATCTGTAGTTGTATGTGTGAGTGACAGTATAAGGGAAAGAATTTAAAATCAATCCTGAAGATTCACGATCATGGTAATTTTTTAACTTTAAAAGAGTTCTGTGTATTAGAGAACCTTGAAAAACACTGACCTAGTGTGGAGCTCCTCAGGTGAGAGAGCCCAAGATTTTTTTACGTGGTTTGAATATTACTTGGTATAATGATAAACAGGCATGATTAATAGTTGATGTCAGTTGGAGAGTTTTGCAGGAAATACAGATACAGATTATTCAAAAGAATTATAACTGTGTTGGTAGTAGTAGGCAGCTCTTTCAGAACTCACAGAACATCAGCTCAGCGTGGAGCAGAAGCTAGCTCAGCTCTAACATAAATTGTTACATTATAGGCTGCAACGCACTCCTATCAAACTGCAGTGTTTTGCCTTGGATCCTGCATCTTCAGCCAAGGAAACTATAGGCTACATTGTCCTAGACTTAAGAACTGCTCAAGAAACAAAGCAGGTACTGTCCTGTTGATGTGTTGTTACCAATGGTGTTTGGTGGGGACTTTTAGTAGATACCAGATTGATGGAAAGGACCTGCAGTCCTGGACCTGAAAGGGCGTGGGTGTGAGCAGGTGTGGCGGTTCTTAGGTTTCACTTTAGGAATTTGATTTAGAAAGTCCCGATATTTTGGTCATTTCTTTGACCTAGAACTCTCTTTGTCAAAGAAAATTCTCTCTGAGCTCAGACAGTCGGTCACGCTGCTGTGACCCAGAGCACAGCAGGTTCAGCTTCAGAGCTTTGCTGTCAGAGATGAGCGCCCTGCCGTGTGCCCCGCCCCGGTGAGTGGCACCCCTCTTCCAGGTGTGCAAGCCACACCTCCGTTTCCGGCCTCCGCAGCTGTCCATTTCCAGGTGGTTCCAGGCCTCCGGCCACCCCTTCCCGATCCAGCTGCTGTTGGACATTTTCACTGTTGGGATCCCAGCCTAAGGCACCGTCCTTTCTTAACACTGGCTGTGGAAGTAGCCTTCCGATTGCTTTCCCTGCTTCTCGCTCCTTGCATGTCAGAGCAGCTGAGCTCCCTGAAACGCGCTTGGGGCACCTCACCAGCAGCCTTGCCAGGAACACACACATAAAGAAGGAAAGACAATTCAGGTCTTGATTCCTATGTCAGTGCTTTTGTTACTGAAAATGTTCCTTTCCTCTTTTAAAATATCTCCCAATCTTTTTTTTTTAAGTTTATATATTTATTTTGAGAGAGAGAGAGAGCGAGAGAGAGCTTGCACATGAGTGAGGGAAAGCAGAGAGAGCGAGAGCAAGAGGGAGACACAGGATCCCAGCAGGCTCCGTGCTCATGACCAGAGCTGAAACCAGCAGTCGGAAGCTTAACCAGCTGAGCCACCCACGCTGAGCCATAACCATTTTTTATGTTACTGGCTTTGGAAATGCTTCCTTTGAATTTTTGTTAATAACTTTCTTTTGTCACAACTTTCTTAAAACAAAGTAAAAACAAACAAACTTGTCTTTTGAAGTCTTTTATTCCGGATTTGAATCCTAAAGTAGGATTCTGAAGAAGAATTGATCCGTTACCAACATTTTTGCTGCTAATAGCCACAGTATTTACAGAGGGGCCAGTGAGCTGAGCCCACACTTGGAATTCTTCAAAAGAAATGGAAACTCGAAAGAAATTCTCTCACAGAGAATCTCTTTCTCCTCCCTCCTCGGGGACTCTTCACTTCTCTGCCCCTAGGTTCTGAAAAGTCTTTCTTTCTTAAGTCTCAGCCCCTCAACCAGGAGCCATGGTCGTGCCCCTGATGTGTTTCTCTTAACTAGCTATGCTACAGCCTGCACAGGATGCTTCTGCGGTTACTATGGTTACACAGGAGGTAAATCCTCTTAGGAGAATACCTGTAAATACACTTGGCATTCCTTCCTGGGCCCCCCCACCCCCCTCACCCTGGCCCCATCTGGTCCTTTCGGACACTTGGTCATTACATTTGCTTCTTACCATTATCAGAGTTCAGGAGAAATGTTTGAGAATTAAGAGTTTTAGGAAAGCCAGACGTTGTCTTAATCTCTCCTCTTTATTAGCAGAAATATTTGAAGTTGGTGAGTAGAATATTTGAAGTTAAAAGTAAATTGATTCTCTGTAAATGAAAAGAAACACAGACAAAAAACCCCCAGCTTTGCTTTTTTAAGTTCTGTAACAGAAAAATACAGCATAAATTTTGTGAGTAGCTGAAACTCTTTTTCAGGCTTAGACTTAAAATTGTAATATATCCATCATAAAAAAAATACAGCAACAGACTATGAGTTTTGCTTTTAAAAAACCTTGGGTGTGGACTTTAAAAAGAAACAACTGTGGTGTAGGCCCATTTTACTTACAAATGTTGATACAAAACTGCAGCTTTGGGTTTTGGTCTATAGAAAGACCCGTTTCTGTGCCTTTATACAATGGTGTTTAGAGTAAGAATGCTGTTTCCATAAATTGAAATGCTGTTCCTGCACTAATGCAACATGCAGTCCTGGGCCATGAGATTGTGCAGGCCGCTTTGAGTATTAGAATTTCTCAAATTACCGGGGCCCGGATATTGAGGTAATTTACGATACTTCATTCTGTGAGAAAGCCGTTATATTTCAGCCAGGTATGTGGTTCATAACCCAGAACTCTACCTTGGGTCTGTGCCTTAGTATTTTGTTAGTGTTTTTTTTTTCGTTAACGATAGCTCTTCATATTTGGTATATTCAGAACAAAGCAGAAATTTGGCAGGCAGTGAAGGCTTATACCAGAAAAAGTGAAAATTTAGGGGTTAGGAAAATGGAAAATTGGTAGTCTAAACTTTTTATCTTATTTTTTTAATATTTCTTTTTGAGAGAGAATGAACGAGCACAAGTGGGGGAGGGGCAGAGAGGAAGGGAGACAGAATCCGAAGCAGGCTCCAGAGCCTGACGCAGGACTTGAACTCCTGAACCGTGAAATCGTGACCTGAGCTGAAGTCAGATGCTTAACCAATTGAGCCATCTAGGCATCCCTAAACTTCTATTTTTTTTTTTTTTTTTTTTTTAGGAGAAAATACAGTTAGCTTCCTAAGCAGGATTAGACTCTTTTGAGGAAAATGTGAAAAATATTCAAAACGAGGAGAGGGTACTAAGGAACTACAGGAAATACATTTGGAAGCTTATAGAACGTTTCCCACTGTTGTTTGTTTCCTGTTAATTATTAAGGTGTTTTTGTTTTGTTGTTACTCTCCAGGCACCAAAATGGTACCAGCTGTTGAGCAATAAATACACCAAGTTCAAGTCGGAGATACAGATAGGCATTGCTTTGGAAACAGACACAAAGGCACCAGTGGATAGTTTTAAAGCGAAAGGAGCCCCCCCTCGAGACGGAAAAGGTCAGTGCGTCATCGCTAAGGACGTTGTCGGAAAAGTTACATCTGTGGACTAGAACTTCAGGTGGTATGATAGGAAAATACATGCAGGAGCGTAAACTCATTTTACTCTGGTGCCCCAGACAGATGTTGTCTTGCTGTTAAACACGCAGCACTTGTCGTTTGAAGCTCTTCTTAGAGAAGAGTTGGAAAAAAGCAAGATTTTCTTTTCTTTATTTGGTATGACAGAAGAAACCACAAATTTGTATTCTTAAAAAGGGCTGTTTCAGAAAATTTCCTTCCCAGGATGAGCACAAAGGTGAAAACAGTTATGCTGTTTTCTCTTCACTCACCTGTTAACCATACCTTCATGTTTTTCTTTCCTTTTTTTTCCTGTAGAATAAACTTTACTTTTTAGAGCAATTTCAGGTTCCCAGCAGAACTGAGTGTGAAGTGCAGAGTGCTGCTGCTTACCTCGGTCTCCTCAGCCACACAACCTCCCCGTTGTCAACATCCCACACCAGAGGGGACCGTTTGTTAAAACTGATGAACCCCCACTCACTACCTAGCAAGGCATTATCACCTGGAGTCCACAGTTTTTATTAGCATTTATTTTTGGTGCTTTATATTCTGTATGTTGTGACAAATGTGTAATGACCTACATCTGTGACTGTAGCGCCCCACAGAATAGCTTCACTGCCCTAGACATCGTCTGTGCTCTGCGTCTCCCTCCCTTCTGCCCAACTCTGGCAAACACTGGTTTTTGGTTTTTTTTGTTTTTAATTGAAGTCTAGTTGACACAAAATGCCATAATAGTTTCAAGTGTACAGCATAGTAACTTGACAAGTCTGTTCCTGATGCTCTGCTCAGGATCATTCTCTCTATATATAGATCATACCTATACTTGTGCACAAGTATAGATCCCCTGTGTCACCATAGAAGGCCATTACAGTACCATCGCTACGTTCCCTGTGCCGCGCCTTCCATCCTTCCGTTACTGGAAGCCTGTACCTCCCACTCTCCTTCATTCAGTTTGCCTACCTCCCTCTTCCCTCTGGCAGCCACCAGTTTGTTCTCTGTGTGTTTATAGATCTGATTCTGCTGGGAATATAGTTTGCATCATTTGCAGACAAAGACTGTTTAATGTCTTTATTCCCGGTCTTCATGCCTTTGTTTCCTTTATCTTCCTGCCTTTGCTAGGACTTGTCGTCTGGTACCCAAAAGCCATGATGAAAGGGGATCTCCTTGCCTAGTTCTGTAGGATTTTTATGGATGTGCTTTATTGCATTGAGAAAGTCACTCTCTATTTTAATTTGCTGATGGTGTTTTATTGTTACTGAGTGTTGGGTTCTGTCAGATATTTTTTCTGCATCTTTTGATACCATCATGTGGTTTTTCTTCAGTCTGTGATATGATGGATTATAACACATTTTTGAATGCTGAACTAGTCTCGCATACCTGAAAAAAATTGCATTTGGTTGTGGTGTGTGGTTCTTTTTATACATTGTTGGATTCATGTGGCTAATATGTTGTTGAGAATCTGTGCATGTATCTTAATGAGAGACAGTGGTCTGTTTTCTTTTTTGGAATATCTTGGTCTGGTTTTGACATCAGGGTAATGCAGGCCTCATAGAATGAGTTAGGAATTATTTCCCCTGCTTCCGTCATCTGAAAAAGATTACGAAGAATTGTTTTTTCTTTCTTGAATGTTTGGTAGAATTCACCAGTAAAGTCATCAGGGTCTGGTGCTTTTTGTTTTGTAAAGTTGTAACTGATTTGACTTCACTAAAGGATATAGGCCTGTCTAGATTGTGTGTTTCTTCCTGTGTGAGTTTAGGCAGATGGTGTCTTTCAAGAAAGTTGGCCCATTTTATACAAGTAATCAAATTTGTGGATAAAAAGTTCCTGTAATATTCCTTCAGTATCCTTTTAATGTCCATGGAATCTACAGTGATTCTCTTTTTATTTTAGATGTTAGTAATTTGTATTTTCTCTTTATCTCTTACTAACGTTGGCTAAATGCTTACTGATTTTATTGATGTTTTCAGAGAGCCAACTTTCGGTTTTGTTGCTTTTCTTCATTGATTTCATGTTACCAGTTTCATTGATTTAAGCTCTAGTTTTTATTATGTGTTTTAACATAATAAGTTTTATTATGTCTCTTTCTCTGACTGAAATATGATCTGCAAAAATTTGTTGCTCTTCATCTACTTTCCTGAAAGAGATCAACAATGTGGGGCTCAAACCCATGAACCGTGAGATTGTGACCTGAGTGAAATCAAGAACTGGACAGTTAACCGACTGAGCCACCCAGGTGCCCTTGGATGCCTTTTAAGTCTGTTTGTTATCTGATTGGTGAGGCTAAGACTTCCACTACTGTGTTAAGAGTGGACTTCCTGGTCTTGTCCTTGAGTGTAGAGGAAAAGTTCTCAGGTTTTCCCCATCGAGGATGATGTTAGCTGTCCATATATGGACATAAATAAGACCATATATGGTCTTAATTAAGTTGATATATGTTCCATCTATCCCTACTTTGTTGAGGGTTTTTATCAAGAATGTCTGCTGTGTTTTGTCAAAAGCTTTTCCTGCGTCTATTGAGAGAATCTTATGGTCCTGTTCCTTTCTTGTACTAATGTGGTTTATCACATTGATGGACTTGCAGACACCCAACCACCCTTGCAGCCCAGGAATAAATTGCACTTGATATAGGTGAATAATTCTTTTAAGGTACTGTTGGATTCAGTTTGCTAGTATCTTGTTGAGAATTTTTACATCTGTGTTCATTAGGAGTATTGGCCTGTAATTCTCCTTTTTAATGGGGTCTTTGTCTGGTTTTGGAATCAAGGTAATGCTGGCCTTGTAGAGTGAGTTTGGACGTTTTCCTTCCATTTCCATTTTTTTTGGAGCAGTTTGAGAAGAATAGATATTAATTCTTCTTTACTGGCTGGGAGAATTCCCCCGGGAAGCCATCTGGCCCTCTACTTTTTTTTGGGGGGACGTTTTTGATTACTGATTCAATTTCATTCATTGTTACTAGTCTGTTTAAATGATTTGTTTGTTCCTATTTCCATGTTGGTAGTTTGTATGTTTCTAGGAATTTATCCATTTCTTCCAGGTTGTTCAATTGGTTGGCATATAATTTTTCATAATATTCTTACACTTTTTTATTTGTGCGGTGTATTCTCTTAGAATTGTTTGTATTTCTGTGATTTGGGTTGGGGTTTCTTTAATTTGTGATTTTTATTATTTGGGTCCTATCTCTTTTATAAGTCTGCCTAGGGGATTATCATTTTTATTCTTTCAGAGAACCAACTCCTAGTTTCATTGATCTATTCTACTGTTTCTATATCATTTATATGTTATATATGTTATATATTGTATTAGAGAGAACTACTTACTGATAGGGTATGCATATATATGAAGTGGGAATTTTCCCACTGCTCTTCTCAAAATTGGTTCATGGTTTCCTCTTAGGAAACTATCCCAGTATTTAGCTTGATATCCGGGAAGCCTCTGCTTAGGCCTCCAGCGCCGCCGTGCCTTCGGGCCCATCACCCTGTGATCCAGCACCACGCCAGCCTCCCTTCTCCAGCGCAGGCTTGCTCTTCTTTCCCGGCCTTTGCAGCCCAGTTCCTTCTGCCTCGAACACTCTTTTCTACTCCCTTATTCTCTATTCAGTTACCTTTGGTGAGTGTGTTACAAAAAAGAAAATCCAAGGGAACCTTATTGAGATAGTACCTATATCCATGAAAACTGCAAGTAAAACACAAAGCACGACCAGCTTTCAAAATGTTCACAGTGGTTTATGGAAAACAATAACGTAGTTTAATTGTGTTTTTACTCTTAAAGTACCTGCCAGCTTGTCTGGCCTTGACCCCAAGGACATTGTGGCAGTGCTGAACGAGGAGGGAGGCTACCATCAGATTGGACCAGCCGAGCATTGCACAGATTCCTTCGTTATGTCTGTGACCATCGCGTTTGCCACCCAGCTGGAGCAGGTAAGGCTTTTCCTCCAATTAGTGAGTCACAAAGAACTGACAACATTGATTTTTTTTAAAAAATTTTTTGCCTTTTGGGTATTACCAAGATTTGCAAGTGGGACTGTTTTTTTACTTTTAAAAGATGTAGAAACATGTTTCCCTTCATACAAGAAAATGTTTCTGCTTTAAGAGTAAATTGGTATGATGTTAGTAATAAGAGAATAAATTAAATCTCTGGGGATTTAGAAGAAAGCCCATCAGTAAATGCTGTTTCCCGTTGTACTGTGTGGCATTGTAAGGACTGGTCTGAGAGGATCTTTTTTCTTTTAAGTATTGAAAAATTTGCTTTTTGGAGAAATGTTCAATGTTGGGAACACTGGGTCTCAGTCATACTTTATTGGGTATCATATCTGGGATTAGATGTTACCTTATTTACAAACTAACAAATTAGCCAATTACAACTCTTGGGTGTTGCTGGATGACAGAAGGTTCCTGGGTCAGAGACACAGGACTGTATTACTCTCTGCACAGCAGACACGAACATCTGCATATCGCGTGCAGTCTTCCTTATGCAGAGTCCCAAGGGGTGACACTGTGGGGCCCAGGTGGCTGCTGTCCACAGAGTGGGTTTCCATCACAGCTGAGGAACCCAGAACACTCCATTGTAAGCTGCCTGGTCTCTCCAGGAAGACACTTGACCTAATCCCTCTGGGTTACCAGCTGTAGAAGCAGCACAGGGAAGTGGCCTGTGTGGGAGGGGGCAGGGCCTTGCGATGTGGGTGCCTCAGCAGGAAAAGCAGGGACGGAGGACCCATGGCCCGTATCGCCTCTTCACCAGAATGGCTCAGCACAGCATGAGCTGGTACTCTCCTGTCCTCAGGATCAGGCCCAGTTTTCTCTGCATTATGTCGATGGAAAGCAGCTGAAGTAAATTAATGTTTTCAAAACTAGAGAATATGGTTTACAACTTAAAATTTTCACCATACTATGAGCTTTCTTAGAAGTACAAAGTTCCCACGTGGCCCACATTTACTAGTGAAATAGGAGTTAGTGACCACAGATTTACACAACTTGCAACACTGTCAGGTAAAGATTTTTCTCAGGAACTACGTATAATTTTGTCACACTAAATTTCGTGTTTTTGCCTTTCCCCATCAGTTTCTCTCTTTTTCTTCATAAAGCCCTGCCCATGGATTACTCTACCCTTCATATGCCATTCTGGTTAGGGGGAAGGTCAGTCACTCAGGTTTTTTTGTTTTTGTTTTTGTTTTTGTTTTTTTTTTTGTAAAAACTCAAAAACCAGAATGATAACTGGCTGTTGGCTGTCTCTGCTAAAAATTAAGCCAAAATGGGTTCCTCAGAAAGAGTAAACAGAATTACCATGGAGCCCGGCAGTTATACTGCTAGGTGTGTATCAAAGGAATTGAGAGCAGGTGTTCAAACAAAAACGTGTACAGGATTGTTCATAGCAGTATTCACAGTATCTAAAAGGTGGAAACAGCCCACACACCCATCAATGTCTGCATGTACAATGGGGTATTGCTCAACTCTAACGGAATGGGGCACCGACACGGGCAGACAGGAAGCACATTTGTGGCTTCCTGGGGCTGGAGGAAGGGGCACATGGGGAGTGAGTGCTCCGTGGTTCCGGTGTTTGTCTTGGGGATGGTGAAAGCCTCGGGGAGCTAGGTGTGGTGACCCTAGATGGGGGAGCATACACGACGCGGTGAATCTGCTCTGTTATTGGGATGTCCACGTTCTTGTGGTTACAGTGATAGGTCTTCTGTTGTGTATTTTACAATAATTAAAAAACAAAAAATGAAGTCCGATAGTGTATTCATCCTTTGATACTGCTGAAAGTTTTTGTTTGCTTTTTTCATTTTTTAAAGACAAGCCAAGGATTTTTTTATTTGTTTCTTTATTTTTATTGAGAGAGAGCATGAGCAGGGCAGAGGCAGAGAGAGGAGGAGAGAGAATCCTTGATGTGAGGCTCAGTCCCATAAGACGTGAGATCGTGACCTGAGAAGAGATCAAGAATTGGATTGGGACGCTTGGGTGGCTCAGTTGATTGAGCGTCCAATTTTGGCTCAGGCCATGATTTCATGGTTTGTGGGTTTGAGCCCCAAGTCAGGCTCTGTGCTGACAGCTCAGAGCCTGGAGCCTGCTTCAGATTCTGTGTCTCCCTCTCTCTCTGCACCTCCCTGCCCATGCTCTGCCTCTCTGTCTCTGTCTTTCTCTCTCGAAAGTAAACATTAAAAAAATTTAAAAAAAAAAAAGAAGAAAAAGGATTGAGCCACCCAAGCCAAGCATTTTATAAATTAGCCATTTTGTCTTTTCCCTTCATGGTAGTGAAAGGTGGCGTGAGAAAGCATTTAGCAACAAACAAACAAATGAAAGATACCTTTTCAGATGCACACCAGTGACTTAGTTTGATGCTATCAAGTGGTAGAAGGGAAGAATTAGTTTGGAGCAGTCACTGGGCGGTGATAACTGTGGGTTCCTCCTTCTCTTAAATACTGAAAGTTGAGGGTTTAAAAAAACAGGGATGACAACGGATTTTTAGAAGAATCTTTTCTCTTAGTGGAATTACTTAAAATGAAATATACTATGAAATATCTAAGGGCCATCTTCTTAAAATTTTTATTGCTTTCTGATTATGGAAGAAACCAAAGGGAAGAAAATAGTCTCTTCTGATAGAACTCAGAAATAATCACTGGTGACAAGGTACTATATTTTCTTCTTCAGACATTTTTGCATTCACCTAATAGCTGACTCTGTGCTGGGTGGTGGTAGTGTCCAGTTGAACATGTTTTTTTCTCGTAATCCTTGTACTGACCCTAAAAGAAATGGAGGTCCAGAGTGAAGAGCAGATTGTCCAGTGCTTCACAGCAAGCCATGGACAGAACGAGGACTGGGGGCTTAGTCCACAATTTGCTCTTAGCAACTATAGGTATACAAGTGCTGCCTCCCTGTGTATAAATCTACATGATTAAAATCTACTCAAATACATTTTTTTTCTCAGATACATTAATGTATGGGATTAAAGTAAACTTTTACTTTACATGTAAAAATATTCCTTTATCTGAAGCAGTAAATAGCTTTTGAGTATTTACTATGTTATTTTACACAAACTATTGAATATTTGCTATATACTGAATACGGAGCTGTTATATTCTCAGTGGTTAATTTTATTTTCATGAACCATACAAACTGTCATGTAACTTTTCTTGGCCTAAGAGTATGTTTTAGATAACTTCCATGTCAGTATATCATTATGTAGCAGCCATGTTGTATGATAACTAAATATACTTAAGCCATCTTCTACTGGTGAATGCAACAATTGTTATTTTTAACAACGTGCTTGTGAACACTTAGGGTCTGTTAGATATTTTGTATTTTATGAGACAAGAATCAGTGTCTTTGCCATGCCATTGGTGTCCATGAAACTACCAGCTTCGAGCAGTAACATTCTTATTACAGGAAATATCCTGTTGGAACTGTTAACTCTTCTAGGCTTCCCACTTTTGTCTGAGTGGCTAGAAAGCTTTTCTCTCAAAGGGCTGCACTAAGGTGTTACATTAAATAGCCTGTATGAAGGTTGTTTAAAATGCTCCCTTTATGTATGAAGAGAGTGGCAGAGTTAAGAAGAGGATGAAATAAGGTATTTGGAAGTAAAGAAGGCTCAGTTTAAAATACCTGATCACTTTCTTCTAAAAGAAATTATCCATACTCGTTCATGGATCACTTGGATGAAAAGTAAACTTCAAAACAAAAGAAATAGCTAAAAAAGCTTTTAGTCTATGGGCTTTTCTAAAACAAACCTTGAAAAATTAATCAAAGTAATCATTCGGTATTAATTTTTCAGAGATTTAGAAGCTTTGAGTGATTTTAAGACTTTGAAATAAAAAAGTCAACATTTTAGCAAAAATTTCAGAGTTCACTAGACACTCATAAGCATGTATAGTGGTTTATAAATGAATTTTTTTTTCCTCCCTGTAAATGTTTAGTTAATTCCATGTACCATGAAACTTCCAGAAAGACAGCCTGAGTTTTTTTTTTACTATTCTTTGCTGGGAAATGATGTTACAAATGAACCCTTCAATGATTTGATCAACCCAAACTTTGAGCCAGAGAGAGCATCTGTTCGAATACGTAGCAGCATAGAAATTCTTCGTGTTTACCTGGCACTTCAGTCTAAACTACAGGTAAGTATGGCAAAAACTTTTTTTTTTTTTTACTTGAGATGATTTTTTAAAGCTTCATAGAGGTACCTAGATTCTTATTTCAGTAGTGAAGGTCATCTTTCTGCCACATCTTTTCATTTCTTAGGAATTCTCCTGACTTGTAAAGTCCCGGTATAACCATTACTTCAGAATTTTAGGAGATATACTTCTTTATCCAGTAATTATGAAGGAGGTATATCAATTGACAGACTGTATAATAGAAAATGAATATAAAGCCTAAAGATTTCATCATTAATTAGTAGGGTTAGTAGCCATACACACACAGATCATGCTCTTGATTTCAGAATTTGTATACCATACTGCTATTAAAAGCTAAGAAAGGGATGCCTGGGTGGCTCAGTCAGCTAAGCGTCTGACTTCGGCTCGGGTCATGATCTCGTGGTTCATGGGTTTGAGCCCCGCATCACGCTCTGTGCTGAGAGCTCAGAGCCTGGAGTCTGCTTTGGATCCTGTGTCTCCCTCTCTCTCTGCGCCCCTCCCCTACCCATGCTATCTCTTTCTCTCAAAAATGAATGATTTTAAAAAATTTAAAAAAAAACTAAGAAATAACCCAGCTTTCTAAAACCTGCCCTTGAATTGAGAAATTTTGTCAAGTAATGTTCTGTTGAACTGTCTTTAAAAGTGAACCTTAGTGAAAATTACTGTTCTGTGTTTTATTACAATTGCTTTTAATCAGACTGAAGTGGGGTAGTGTAATAAAGGATTAGGTAGTCCTTTTTTAAAAGCACTCAGTCATTAGATTTCACTTGCAGTTTGGGTGCGAAGTGGGAAAAGGCTTTAAGAAATTGTAGTAGAGCTGCATTTTGGAGGTGGTTCTGCTAAGTTAAGGATACTAAGGAGCTGAACACTTTATAAAATGATGAACTGCTTGTTCCTGAATTTCGTCTTTTCATAGGGATTTTAGCTTCCTAAACATCTTGAGATGTATTCCCTATCTAAAATACTAGTCTTTACCAAAGTATTGACTTCTTTCTTAATTTAATTCTCCTAGACATTTAAGTCCTAAAAAATCCTTTCTCTCCAGCCCATTAACACCATGGCACTTAATAACATTCAGACTAAATTACAACTCATGGCTGACATTAGAACTAAAAGTCGTTTAGTGTTGTGACTGCTTAGTGTGCATCTGAATGCCAATATAGGAAGGTAATCAAGTTGATACTATAGTATGGAGGTGATTCGTAGTTTTGGAAGGCGGTGATGTTGAAGTTTTGATTAGCTGTCACTGATAAACAGTACATTCCACCTGAGAGGCACTCTGTTTTACCTTGTACTATTAAACACTGTTTTATATATATAATCAGAAAAGCAGGAAAAGAGAAAGAAACACCACAGATGTTTTGTGGGCAAACAAAACAAAAATTGTTTCAGGTTCTTTAGTTTCCAAATAGGGCTGGAGCTACTAACTTATTTATTTTCTTACAACTATTTCATGTTGAAATGGAAATAGAAAAAATGCTTGAGGTATTTGTTTCTATTTACATTCATGTATTCATGATATATTTGCTTATGTAAAAACAACATAGTAAGCTATTAAAGTAACCATAGTTCCTGAAGGAGAAAAGGATGATACCATGTGATTATACGGTACTGGAAGGAAAAATGAAGACTACCTTTATTATTGGGTTCTTAGGAAAGCTTACGCCTTGTCAGTAGTTTCAACAATCATGTATGAGAAGCTTTGACTCAGTCCCTGCAGGTCAGTGATAGAACCTGCATTATACTTCCCTTCTTTGGATCATGTTATAACTTTTTGTTACGGTTGATGTTTCTCCTAAATGAGAATAAATGAGAAATGAGAGACTGTAAAGCCCTATTTCCGTTTTCTCTTTCACCTCAGATCCATCTTTGCTGTGGAGACCAGTCACTTGGGAGTACAGAAGTGCCCTTAACCGGACTACTGAGAAAGGGGAGTACAGAAATCAACCAGCGGCCGGTCACAGTTGAGGGTGCTTTTATTCTTGACCCTCCGAACCGAGCCAAGCAAAAGCTTGCACCCATTCCTCTGGAGCTGGCCCCCACCGTGGGAGTGTCTGTGGCTTTGCAGAGAGAAGGCATAGATGCCCAGGCAAGTAGTGACCCTCCATCTCCTCCTCCGGCGTCTCTGCTGTCACTCGTCACTACCCATAAAAGTTGAACTTCAAAAGAGTTACCTAGTGTAAGCAAGTATTTATTATTCTTAATTAGTGGCCTCTAATATAGGTATTTCCTTTCTGGAAAGTACTTTGGCTGCCCCACCTGTAGTTTATAAGTGATAACAGAGCCTTTGCATACCGTTTTCTCCTGTGGTAGGACTCCCCCCAGCCCCCCACAGTTCATGGTCAGTCACTGGCAGAGATGGACCTTGTTCCTGGGAATCTGCATTAATGGTGGTATTTTGGTGGACTCAGCTTTAGCTTACACACAGAGTTCTTGGTTCATTTGTGCTTTATGGTCCTCATAAGTATACAGTCCCAGAATTACCTTCTGTACACTGTTCTTCTGAAGAACTGACCTTTATGTGGGTTACGAATTAAAGATAGAAAAGCCGATGTGACAGTTTGAATGTATATTTGAATATATATATGTGTGTGTGTGTGTGTATATATATATATATATACACGCTTGGGGATACATATATATGTATATATATATATTCAAATATATATGTGTATGTTATTAGAAGGAAGTGGAACAAAGGAAAGGGAGAAAATCATACTAGATCTGTTTTTATTTTGGTCTTGTTTTAACATAGGCCTCCATTGTATTTATTGCCTTTGTAACAATAACCTTTTCCGGGGACACCTGTCCCTGACTTCTTACATCAAATATCCCTTCTTACCAGTTAGGATGCATTTTGGTCCTCAGCTCTCAATATCCTGTTCCCTCCTGTCTTCCTTTTTCTGTTCCTAGATGCTACATGAAATTTGCAAATTATGAAGACAAGTAGACTAAGAATATCCAAAGTGGGAAGGGAAGCTTATATTTTAAAAATAAGGGGGGGGAGGGCGTCACATTTTTGTTGTTGTTGCTTAATTATGCAGAAAAGTGCTTTGCAAATCACTGTATCTAATAATTATTTTTAGCCTTTAATTGAATTAAAGACCCAGAAGGAATACGAGCCGCGGCAATCAAAGAAGCGAGTGTTAACTCCTATAAAAGAGAAGACCCTCACTGGGCCAAAGTCCCCAGGCGTGTCCCCTGTTCCGCCCCAAAACCAGTCACCTCCAACCAAAGATGATGCAACCGAGAGTGAAGTGGAGAGCTTGCAGTATGACAGGGACACAAAACCGAATGCAAAAGGTGAGCTGTCCTGACACATGGTTCAGGTATCCACTTCGTAGCCCCCTATTTCACGATGAACAGAGTTTTCACGGTTTGTAAGTATATTAAGAGCCAGTACTGTGTGGCGATGTACAAATTCAGTTTAAATGGAATCGAATTGAAATGGAGCCTGTGACCTGATCATAGAATTGGCTAGCGGGTAGGAATTTTTCAGTTACTTTTATTTTAGTCACAGCCTCTTGAGAAGAAATGACAGAAACTAGTTCTTTTGAACATATTTTTAACTAGTAAACACTTGAATATCTTGAATTCTTAGGAATTTTACAGAGAAGAACTCCTAACCGCCTGTTGTAATATACTCATTATACCCAGTTTTGATGCTAAAGTCCAGGGAGACACTGGGAATCATTTAACCTGGTTTTTCCATCCACTGCACTAGGACCTGCGGTTACATTTTGTAGCGTAACTAATTAGAGCCGTGTTCCATTAGCAGTCACACGGTAAGGTGCAAGTGACCCCTTGGTTACTGAAGAGCTGTAGGACTTGGTCACTCACTACACATGTCTGGTCTATAATGGGATTGGATTAGAGTTCTCTTTCTGTTAGACTATGCCCTGTGTGCCTAACACAGCCAGCACTGCTTCTTCAAAAGTGTTCTGATATCTGCAGTAAGTCTGTCCTACAACCCTTCGGATACGAAGTCTAAGTTGAGCTGCCTCTTGGAAAGAAGTTTGCACCTGCCAGCCTGCTGTCACATGTTACTGTGTCAGTAGTGAATGCTTTTCTGGTGTGCAGTCTGTGTGGAGAGGAAGGCTTTCTTGACACAGTTCTAAAATGGGAATTCAAGCCTACATAATTTGGGGGCATGTCACTTTAAGAAGCTCCTATGCCTCCTTTCTTAGGTTTATGAAACCAAATGATCTAATTCCTTGCTTGAAGGGAAATGCGATGGTATCTTTAAGTGAGGTAGATAACTGAAGAGAAAGTGTTACCAAATGGGATTTTTTTCTTTTAAATTTTTCTGTTCATTGCAGCTGTCGGTTCTTCTGTCCCTCTTCCAGTGGCCCAGCCAGTGACCACAGCCACTGCCTCAGAAACCGCCTCAGGACAGAAGGTTGCTGTGCCAGCAACATCACATCATTTTTGCTTCTCAATAGACTTAAGGAGTATCCGTGACTTGGACGTTGGCTTTACAATCAACTGTATATTAAGGTGCAATCTGATTTTTTTTTTTTTTTTTAAGTATTCTTTTTTGAAGAGCAGTGCCTTTTCTCCGTTGGGGAGTTTCAAAGGGAGAGATAGCACCAGAGAAGGTAGAGCATTTGTTAAACCCATGCACTGAAAAGCCTGCAAGGCTCTGTCCTCATGACCTTGAATTAAACCAGGGTGGCATTGGTGGTATGAGAGGTGGTAATCATGGTAGGCATCGATGATAATTTATTAGTGCTCCTCTTCAAAGAGAGTGACTCTTGAACTTAAACTGTGTTGTTTCAGGTCATCAGGGTGGCTCAGTCAGTTAAGTGTCCAACTTCAGCTCGGGTCATGATCTCACGGTTCGTGGGTTCGAGCCGCACATCAGGCTCAGAGCCTGGCGCCTACTTTGGGTTCTTTATCTCTCACTCTCTCTGTCCCTCCCTTTCTTGTGCTCTGTGTCTCTCTCCTGCAGAAATGAATAAACATTAAAAAAATGTTTTAAAATGCGTTGTTTCTTGAAAAGGTGTCACAGGGCAAAATTAAGGGAAGTGTAGTGTCTGATTTTTCTATGAAACTGCATTATAATGGGAGGTGATATGTCTGCCACCTACCCTTGATAACAGACTCTCAGAACCGTCCATAATGGACTGCCTATGGAATGTGTCTACCTTTTTCCATATAAAGCAATGAAATACTTACGTATTTCACTCAGTTAAATGGCTTTACTCAATAACCTGTTTTTAACGATAATACATCTTCATAAACCTTTTGGTTGAAATGTATATTAAATGTAATATAATAATGTGTTTTAGTTCAGAGTGGTTAGTTGTTCTTAGCATTTCCTTGGAGCAAGCACTAGCATTCCTAACAGTTAGTGCTCTTTTTGCAATTAAAATGCGAAAATCTTTCTGTCATCTTGGACATTCCCAGGAATGTCCTGGGAAGCATCTACACACTGCTTCCTGCTAGTACGTGAGGCATTCCTGCCTTTCACATGCATACGTTCACTCATACTTGTATCCACTCTTTCGCTTCTTAGATTCCTCTCAAGCTGTATCCAGAATCTTCTCAGCTTGGATGTGAATAATGGACAGAATCAAAGGGACCTGACACTTGAGCTTGACTGTGAATTCACAGAATGGCAGTGTTTCTATCACAGCTTATGTTGTACTTTTACCTCCTCCCAGAGGCTGAGAATCATTATTAAAATGTCATTTGAAATTGAGGAACAGAAAAAGTTTTCTCTCAGAGAGCTTTTCTCAAAGGGTTTATAGAACATCTCAAAATTATTTTTAGAAGTAGAATTATTATTCCTTACTATTATATCTACTCTTTTTATCTTTCTGCCTCTACTTTTAATTTAACTAATTTTATTTAATTTTATTTATTTAGAGAGAGCATAGTCAGGGGAGAGGGACAGAGGGAGAGAGAGCATTTAAAGTAGGTTCCATGCTTAGCATGGACCCCAACCTACAGCTTAATCCCGTGACTCTGAGATCATGACCTGAGCTGAAATCAAGACTTAGATGCTCAACCGACTGAGCCACATAGGCGCCCCTCTCCCTTTACTTTTATTTATTTATTTATTTTTTACAAATAGTTTATTGTCAACTCTCCCTTTACTTTTTTAACTGAAATCTCTTTGCTGCTGCTCCTAGAGAATGTGATCTTAGGGTACCTAGAAATGATGCTGGCTAGAAGCATAGAAATATTGAGGTAAAATTAGAGGCTGTGAGGGGGAAGCCTTATACTAGTCCCCTGAGCAAGCACTCATCTTCGTTTTTGTGGTTCTGTCTTGTCCTACAGGCCATTTGTTTAATCACTAAGTGCCCACATGCCAGCAGTGTGCCAGGTGTTAGGAGTTGGTGGGCCACGTAAGCAAAGAGCTCAACCTAGTGAACAAGACACATTGAGAAATCAGTCAGCATACGAGAAGGCTAGAAGTTCACTCAGCAAAGAGAAGGGGGAAAATACTCTAAACCGAGGAAGCCGTCATGATTTCCTTCACGTTCTGCCTGGAATTCACTTGATGCTAAGGGCCATTGGTTCTGTCTTTGAGTCAGTTGTTGGCAGTTTTTAAAACCCTGGCCATTTAACTTTCTGCTTGATAAATTTTATGTTATCTTGCTCTCACTGGTATGAAACTGTGGTTAGCAACTATGGAATGGGATTTGTGAGATGAGCTGATTTCATTGCATGTGTCATTATGTAGGAATGGAGTAGATGTGCAGGATTCTTGTAGGAAAAGTAGTTTTCACTACTAGGCCCTAAATTCTCGTTCTTACAATGAATGACGGAGACACAAGATGAAATGGAAGTGAGCTTTAAGTTGCCTTTCTGTTTGGCTTTAAATAGAAAGTAAGTTCAGCAGAAGTCAGACATGTTCCCATTTAATCAGGTGTGGTTTCTGTGACGAAAGGAAGAAATAGTCTTGTTATTCATTGAATTACCCACTTCTGTCCCTGATTCCCAAAGACAGAATACCATGGTTGCACCCTCTGGGAGCTGACTAGGGGTTTCAGCTCGTAAATATCAAGACATCATTAAAACATTTTTTTCATGTTTATTTATTTATTTTGAGAGAGAGAGGCAGACAGAGCATGAGTAGGGGAGGTGCAGAGAGAGAGTTGGAGAGAGAGAATCCCAGCAGGGTCCCCACTGCCAGCACAGAGCCTGATGCGGGCCTCTTTCCCACAATGATAAGATCATGACCTGAGCCGGAGTCCACAGCCAGACGCTTAACAGACTGAGCCACCCAGGTGCCCCAAGATGTTATTCAATAAAGAAAATAAGTTTAGAAATTAAATTCAGGGGCACCTGCGTGGCTTAGTCGGTTAAGCGTCCGACTTCGGCTCAGGTCATGATCTCACAGTTCATGTGTTCAAGCCCTATGTCGGGCTCTATGCTGACAGCTAGCTCAGAGCCTGGAGCCTCTTTCAGATTCTGTATCTTCCTCTCTCTCTCTCATCCTCCCCTGTTCACGCTGTCTCTCTCTCTCTCTCAGAAATAAAACATTAAAAAAAATTAAAACAAAAAAGAAATTAAATGAAATTCAGCAGGTACTTCCTCAATGTTTACTCTGTGCCAAAAACTGCTGATTTGTTGCTGGGAGGGTAGAGGTGGAAAAGACGGGTGCCACGCCCCCAGGGGACTCCTGGACAAATGGCAGCTGGGTTTTCGTTTAGTGGCGTCGCTGTCACCCCTAAATTCTGGAGTTATGTGGAGTGTATCAGAATGATCATCTCGTCCTTCTTGGGTGTTTACTACCTTCCGAATACCAGACTTCTTGCCCAGTTCATTCTAACATTCCTTATAAAGCAACTTTGGGAACTAGTGCTATATATACAGAATGCATTTTTCTCGAATTACTGACAATACTTGCAGAATTTTAAAGCTGATGACAGGACTAGAATCATTGTGTATTTGTACCATTTAATTTGTACCAACTAAAAATTCTGTTTGTTCATTATGTTCATTTTATCCTTAAAAAACAAGACAAAAACAAACCTATAGGTCTCATCTGTAATCTGTATCATAGGATTTTTTTTCCCCCTGAAATTCCAGGTACTCCTATCCATTCTTTGGTAGTGCAGCTCCTATTATGACTAATCCTCCTGTAGAAGTTCGCAAAAACATGGAAGTTTTTCTTCCACAGTCTTACTGTGCATTTGATTTTGCAACTATGCCTCATCAGCTCCAGGATACCTTCCTAAGGTAATGTAGATATGGTGCGTATGATATGAAGTCACTCTTGAAAATGCGTATCTTGTTACTAACAAGAGAGATTCCTAGAGGTTTAGACCCAAAGCAGTTAATGCATTTGAGAACTTGGAAGCACATGTATTAGTAATGTAATTAGTTACTAATTATTAATGTAATCAGTAGTGTGTGATGTGTATGCTTCTGCTGTAAAGTTTTATGAGGTTGTGGTTATTTATCAAATCTTTGCCTATTTTTATATCTTATTTGTCTGAATTTGGAGGTTAGAACTGTGTTAAATGCCATCTTTGAGTAAGGAAGAAGGTTTGAAAAACTACTGTCTTGTTTTTCATAATATGCGAAGATAAATAAAAACAAGCTATTTAGTTTTTATGACCAGTTCACCAGTGGCCTGGAGTGTAGTGGTTGCTTTTTGTGTTTTCACGTCTCCCTGAAATGAAGGTATTAATCCACCTATCTGAGATGGATTCATAAAGGAAAAGATTTGAAATGTCTTTACTCTCTGAGTAGCACAATTCAAATGTGTATATTATTTTAAAAGGAAGAAGGAAGATTGAAAAATAGCATTTCATGGGTTTTCTTTATTGCCCAGAAAGAGGTGCGGAAACTGTCATGGTATTTTCTGTTTGTTACCTGTGGAATGGAGCCTTTCCGACCCAGGCAACGAAAACATCTTTGTCTATGTTTAGGGAACTCGAAGATCTATTAGCGACTTGGTTCAGAAATGGTAGGACATGAACACGTGTTCTCTCTTCCTTAGGATTCCACTGCTGGTTGAATTATGGCACAAGGACAAAATGAGTAAAGATCTGCTTCTGGGAATTGCGAGGATCCAGCTTTCTAACGTCTTGTCTTCAGAAAAAACTCGCTTTTTAGGGTCCAGCGGAGAACAGTGTTGGCGTCAAACGTACAGTGAAAGCGTGCCCTTTATAGCGGCGCAGGGGTAATGAATTTCCCAAACTTGACCTTAGCTTTCTTTTTATTCTCATTAGCTGGGTACAACCTTATTCTTCCCTGGCATGTCTGTTGCGATCGTACTTCTTGGACCTCTGGGGGCTGTATTCCAATTTGCTCCTTAGCATTGTTTACCTTTCTGATATCGCCGTTCCCTATTCTACTCGTAACCCTTAGGATCTTAAATGTTTCCCTCCTCTCTATTGAGCCTGACAATTTTAACTTCCAGCTCTGTTTTGTTGTTGTTGTTGTTTAGTAATTCAGGGTCAGATTTATAATGTATTTTTATATTATTTTGCTTGGGGAATGACTCTCTGTCTACTTGAAAATATTTTAACTGTTGCTTCAAATCTATTTTCTGAGAACGTTAACAAATGTTTGGCACTTTAAAAACTGACTATTGTTTCTCTGCCCTGGAATCTATTGCCACCGTGGAAAACTGAAGTACATATCCCTTGTACAAAATACATATATTTTAAGTACATCTTTTTAAATTTAGCAGTAGAAATTTAAATACACTTTAAAATTATACATCACATGCTTTGGTGTTTGAAGCATAATTAGAATGTACAAAGAAATCAGGCTCAGTAAAAAGCTGAGATCTAGAAGTAGTGTTTAAGTTCCTTCCCTTGCTCTTCCCCATCCATAGTCCCTTCCAGTGAGTAAAGAATTCGTACCACTTCTATTCACTTAGCGGATCTACCGAGAGGTGTTTTAGAGAAGCACATGTTCTGGTGAACTGAAAATTCTGCCAAAAATCCCATTCTTTGGTCACATTAAGTAGACCATAGTGAAAATAATTAAATCATTACCAGTTATTTTAAATCTGTTGGTTACGAATATTAACTTTTGTTGCCCTGCTCTGTAAACAGATAAGTTTTAGGAGACTTTGTGTGCTTTGTTGTGTTTTCTTCATTTCTTCTAAAAGCTGTGAGGTTAGAAGAAAATGGAAAAATTGATTTAAGAGTTTATTTGTGCGGGTTCCATTCACTGAAGTTTTTGCTTGACTGAGGATTTATGGAAGAGATTTGATTTAGACAAAACCACGTTTCTTGTAGCCAAGGTGGACTTTCCTCTAATGTTTTGGTAAATACTACATGCACTCCTCTGAGACAGAGACAAGCTCATTGTGATAAAAATAACATACAATTATCCTATTTTCAGGAATTACCCTGAGGCAGTGCTCCCATCCAGTGAAAAGTTTATGTACAAGTGCTTCCTCCCAGGAAAAAAGCAGATTAAGAATTCAGAATAATCTGTATATAATCAACAATAGGGCCAGTATTTTTTCTCTTAATTTTACTCTGTAAATTTATTAGTATATTTTACAGGCATTAAAACTTAAACATTTTTGAACGGATGTTGATGACGTGAGAAAATGCTCCAGATGTAAGTGGAGAAAAAGGGACCAGAGTGTATGTGTATCTGCATGTACATAAAACAGAAGAGAGAAAGGAAATGAAAGTTCAGTAATTCCCTTTGGGCAGTAAGATTTTAAATTTCCCCAAAAAATCTATAGCTGATGGAGGCTTTCTTATAGTAAACGTAGGTCTGGACTTCCAACAGGTTGGTCATCAGGTAAAATGCGCATATGGAAGGTCTTGAGGATTGAGTAGTGTGAGTGTCAGGTACAAGAAATGTGAACTACTCAATGCTGTAACACTGGGGAAGTAAAAGGAAAAATAATATTTCCATGAATTTTAAGGATTTCTGAATTTATTTGTAGGTCAAACAACAGGATAATGGATCTTTCCTACACAGTAACTCTAGAAGATTATGGACTAGTAAAAATGCGTGAGATTCTTGTATCTGATTCATCTCAGGTAAGTAACACTGAATGGGAAACATGACTATAGTGAATCTAATGCAGTATGTGTATGAGTGTGTTTGTTTCAATATGTTTTCGGTCACGTCTTAGGGTTTATCTGCTGTGCAACAGAAGCCATCCTCCCTTCCTGCAGCACCTTGTCCTTCAGAAATCCAGACAGAGCCTCGTGAAACCTTAGAATACAAAGCAGCACTAGAGCTAGAAATGTGGAAAGAGATGCAAGAAGACATTTTCGAAAATCAGGTTACTTTTTAAATGTTGCTTTGAAACTTTGTTTTTGAAAATACCTAAAATAGTTTTCTTCTCCATAGTAGGCTTTTTTCCCCTCTCTATTCCATAGGTACCCTATTTGTTCCCTCTTAGTAGCAAGAATGCTTTACTCTTAGAGAAAAACAGAATAAAAAAATAACTCAATTAAGTGATACTTGGGCAGAAGCCATGCAGGAGTCCCCTAAGCTTTCTCTATGACTTTGGGGCAAAAATAGGAATGAAGGTTACAAATCAGTGGTTGAAAGAATGAACATTTCTTTCAATTGCAGGCCCTCATTTACCATGTCCTCATGGAGCCTGGAACCATCTCTCTCTACCCAAGAGAGAGAGTGAAAACAGGTCTTCACTTTAGTTTTATACTCAAGTGGGTATCCCTTGCTTCAGGCATTCTCTTTGGGTTTTGTTTTTTTTTTTTTTTTGCATATATATACTTTTTAACGTTTTATTTATTTCTGAGAGAGAGAGAGACAGTGTGAGCAGGGGAGGGTCAGAGAGAGAGGGAGATACAGAATCTGAAACAGGCTCCAGGCTCTGAGCTGGCTGTCAGCACAGAGCCCGATGCAGGGCTCGAACCCACAGACATTGAGGTCATGATCTGAGCCGAAGTCGGACGCTTAACTGACTGAGCCACCCAGGTGCCCCTCTTTGGTTTAAGAATAAAAGAGCATGCCTGGAGGAAACATATTGGTGATCAGTATTAATTATTTTAACAGAGAACAAGTGATCTGTGTATTTGCAAATGACATCAGATAAAGGGTTGGTATCGAAGATCTATAGAGAACTTACCAAATTCAATACCAAAAAACAAATCCAGTGAAGAAATGGGCTAAAGACATGAACAGGCACTTCTCCAAAGAAGATACCCAGATGGCCAACAGACACATGAAACAGTGCTCAACATCACTCATCCTCAGGGAACTACAAATCATCCACACTGACATACCACCTCACACCCATCAGAATGGCTAAAATCAACAAGTCAGGCAACAACAGATGTTGGCGAGGATGTGGAGAAAGAGGATCTCTTTTGCACTGCTGCTGGGAATGCATACTGGTGATCTGTATTTGAAATACTGATGTGCTTTCAGCGACTTCCTTTTTCTTCCTCTTGTAGCTAAAGCAGAAGGAATTGGCTCATATGCAGGCTCTTGCAGAGGAATGGAAGAAGAGAGACCGAGAGAGAGAATCACTCGTAAAGAAAAAGGTAATAACTTCTGTAGAAATAGAAGGCAGAAAGGAAAAGTATGGATGATAGTATCTTGTAACACATTAAAGAAAATCTGGGAGTAACAAAGTACAGTGATTGTATATTGGTTTGGATAAAGTGAATGGATGGGTCAGGAGTAGGAGGAAGGCCTTTCTCCATAAGGTGTTGGGTGCTGCTTTGATTTTGAACTCTGCAAATGTATTATTTGTTCAAAAAATGAATACTCTAGGGAAAAAATCTACTTCTGTATGAAAAAAATGGCACTTTTTTTTATAACATTTTTATTTATTATTGAGAGACAGAGAGAGAACATGAGCATGGGAGGGGCAGAGAGAGAGGGAGACACAGAATCTGAAGGAGGCTCCAGGTTTTGAGATGTCCACACAGAGCCCGATGCGGGGCTCAACTCACAAACTGTGAGGTCATGACCTGAGCCCAAGTCGGATGCTTAACCAACTGAGCCACCCCGGCGCCCCGAACATAGCACATTTTAATCTGTTTGTTAATAAAAAAGCATCAAAAACTTAGAAGCTATTTTTAAGAATTTAATCCTGGAATAAATGACATCTTTAAAAATAACACAAGACCATTTGATCTTATTCCGAAAAGCAAAAGTTCAGTACTTACCTGTTTACACTTAAGTTATTGAGTAAAACAAAAGCCCTGAAAATTACACTTCTTTCAAATACTGAAATTGAACTCTCATATTAGGGGTTAATGACACGGCTCCAGGTGGGAGGAGATAACTAATGGTGCCATGGGCTGCTCCCCTCCGCCAAGAGACTGGAGCAGCTTGCAGACTAGAATAGTTTCGGAAGTTACTTTCAGGTCTCTAACCATTTACATTGAATAGGTAATTATTGGCACAGCTGGATTTTTTTTAACTTGTTTTCTGATATGCTTGGTTTAAATCCATTTTGCTTTTGCTTTTCCATTTGTTCCATCATTTCTTCTTTTTAAAAAAATTTTTTTTAATGTTTATTTTTGAGAGAGAGAGAGAGAGAGACAGAGTACAAGTTGGGGAGGGGCAGAGAGAGAGGGCGACACAGAATCTGAAGCAGGCTCCTGGCTCGGAGCTGTCGGCTCAAACTCACAAACCATAAGGTCATAACCTGAGCTGAAGTTGGATGCTTGACTGAGCCACCCAGGTGCTTTTTCGTAGGTTTTTTTTTTTTTTTTTGGTCTTTTCCTGTTTTTCTTTTGGATTCATTGACTTTTCTTATGATCCCATTTTATTTTTACTCTTTCCTGATTAGCAATGTCTCTGTTTCATTGCTTTTTGGGGAGGGAGGGTTGCTTTAAGATTTAAAATATGCAGCTTTAACCTATTAGCACACTGCTAATAATTAATAATAATAATAATGCTATTATGCCATTTTACCTGTGGTGTAAGAAGCTGACAACAGTATATATCCAGTGTGTGTTTTTGTGCTAATACCATCATAGATTTTGCTTGCATGCAAATTATCCTAAAATACATTTTTGCTTTTAAGAATTAGTTTTTAAAGAAATAAAACTTTGAGGCAATAGCCTCTATTATTAACCACATAAAAAGGATTTCTTGTAGTATGGGCCCGATGGCAATATATGCTGTCAGTTTATGTTTGAAGAAGTGTTTCTCTCTCCCTCATTTTGAAATAAATCTATTTTCACTGGGTATGGAATTCTGGGTGGAAAATTTTTGTTTCAGTCTTTGAAGTTGTTACGTTTGCATTTTGGCTTGTTTTGTTCTTCATGGAAATCTGCTGGCCTTGTTATCTTGGCTCTCTATCTCTAAGGTCTCTTTTTTCTTCTCGGTTTAAGCTTTTTTTTATCACTAGTTTTCAGCTAGGAATTTGATGGGCTTTGTGATTGTGTGTGTGTGTGTGTGTGTGTGTGTATGTGTGTGTTGGTGCGCGCGCACATGTGTGTGTGTATACGTGCATGTATTTCTCCACCCTGCTTGGAGTCTTTGAACTTCTTTGGTTATGGGGTTTCATCATGCTTAGAACATTTTGGGTTTTTATTGCTTAAAATTTTTTGCTGTGTCTGTCTCCCCTCTCCTGATTAGAGTCCATGTGCATGTATTGTACTGCTTGATATTGTCCCAGAGAGACAGGAATTACTTTTTAAGTCTTTTTTTCCCCCCCTCAGTGCTCCATCATGGGTATTTTTTATCGCTGTGACTTCAGGTTGACCATTTGTTCTTCTGAAGGGTCTGATTTGCCACGAATCCGGTTCAGCACAATGTTTCATGACATACAGTGTGTTTTTCATCTCTAGAAGGTTCATTTGGGCGTTTTTCTTTTTTGAAGCACTTTTCATCATGTTCATGTTTTCCTTTACATTCTTGAGTATCTGGAATATATTTACCATATGTTATCAACTAGTTCCAACATCTGTATCATTTTGAGGTCTCTATTGTTTCTTTTCCACCTGGTTATAGGGAACATTTTTCTATTACTTTGAAAGACTGGTAATTTTTTGTTAGATGCCAGAAATCTCGTGAAATTTACGTTGTTGATTGCTGGATCTTGGTGTGTGAGGTGAGTTTGATCCTTTTTAGTTTCGCTCGGGCAAGCTGAGAACAGTCCGTAGCCGTGGGCTGTGTAGTAGGTATATAGATGCCTAGCATGTGCCAGTCTCTCCCCTCAGAGCAGTAGGCATGTGCACTGTACTCAGACCTGGCTGAGCTCTGGGAATGCCTTGTCTTAGAGCTCTCCAGTGGCAAACCATCCAGCCTTACGGGTTTCCCCTCAGACTGGAGGGGACTCCTCTGCTCGTCTCCAGTGCTTACCCACCCTCTGCACATCTTTCTCCTCTCTTCACCACCTCAAGTTTCCCCAGCCTCCCTAGCCTCTTGTTTCCTCAACTCAGCAAGGTTGCGAGGCTCTGCTGGGTATCCCCTTCGCTGAGCCTTAGTCTGGAAGGCGCTAGAGTTACTGTAGGGCTGGCCTCCATTCTTCTCTGCTATCGGGGCCATGGTCCTGCGCTGTCCATTCTCCCGTGAGTAAACACAGTTGTTTCGTGTATGTCGTTCCATTGGTGTCTGAGGAGGAGGGCAGGTGGTGTTGTAGGAGTAGACCAAGCAGGGTTCCCCAGGCCTTTGACTTTAAAATAACTGTTTCAGTTTTATCGTCTTAATTCTCAACCATTAAAAATTTGGAAAACCAGTGAGTTGAAAAAAAAAAAATCTAAAAAAAAGAAAAAAAGATAACAGGACTCCTCCAAAGCATCTTGTGCTTAAGAAATGTTCAAATAACCAAAATGTAAAAACTAGAGGCCCTCACACATATTTAAACAATTTTCTAGTTTTCCTTAAATGTGACTTTTATATTAAGTTGGATTTGTAGTTCTCAGGTAGCCTTTATTAACTGAATCTGAGTGAGCTTATGAAATATTTAAATTTCTAGAATTTTTCATTTAGCTTGTAAGACGAGGAATGTATCACTGAACCATTTTTTAATGCTTTTGAAGAATTTTATTGTGTTAAGTTTTGCAAAAGTCAAATCAGAAAAACTTCTTTAGTTAATATTTTGGCAGATCCAACTTGTGCCATTATTACACTTTCTATTGTAAGAAAAAAAAGTCAGTGTCTGTATAATGGTTGAAAAAAAAAGCCTCAAAGTAGTTTTTGGTTGGTTGTTATTTTGATAATTATCTTTTCAGTTGATTACCATCGTATACAATTTTTCCCACCATTTCAGCTTGAATGGACTATCTCCTAACTTATAATAATGATGCTTAGAAAATGAAATATGAAGGGTACCTGGGCGTCCCTATCTGTTAAATATCTAACTGTTGACTTCGGCTCAGATCATGATCTCACAGTTTACAAGTTTGAACCCCACACTGGGCTCTGTGCTGACAGTGTGGAGCCTGCTTAGGATTTTCTCTCTCTGCCTCTCCCTTGCTCACATGCTCACTCTCTCAAACTAAATAAATACTAAAAAAAAAAAAAAAAGGGGGGGGGTTGGAATATGAGGCCTGTCTTAATACGTGGCTATTTGAATTAGTCTTGTCAAAAAGTTGATGGGATTGCTGTGTTTTTCCAACCTAAGTACATTGGAGAGTAACAACTCAGCCAGCACAATGTGTGTGTGCCCTGTCTTGGAAGAATATGGTCAACCAGGATGGGATCCGTTTCCTAACACTTCATAAGCCACTGTAACATTGAGTCACTGGGGAGAAAAGGCAGCGTTTGCCTCAACAGGATGAAATCTTTGCACACTGAATTCTCTGAGCCTGTGTGATTTTTAGGTCTTTTTCTGTTGGTTGGTTTTCACCTTATTTACCTGATTTTTCTTTCTTTTTTTTTTTTTTTTTTAAACAACGTATAGTTCTTCAGTACTTAGAAACCTTACCTGAAGGAGCCTGGGTAATACTGGTGCAGTCATTTAAATTTATTTCTGCTGTTCAGCACAGCATGAGTAAATAGTAAAATGGACCTCATCTTATTATGAGGAGGTTTGTCCTGCCTGACAAGATGCTAACTAGCTAATAGCCCATAATTCAGGATGCAGTGGCGAAGGAGTATAAATGGTAAATAAAATTACATCTAGTTAGAGCTCAAGTTACTAATATTTCATAATCATAAGTTATTTTAATCTTTGATGTACACCTAATGATGTACATCAAGGGGGGTTATTAATCTATCAGTCTTTTTTGATCATCTTTTGGAACCAGTGTGGAAGGATTATTTTGTTAACTGAGAAAGAGCAGATTGTTTTTGTGGGAAATCTTTTGTTTTGTAAAATAATGTATCCTCTGGTGTTATACGTAAACTTTTTTTTCCAAATAAATGAAGCTTTCGTTAATCTTGAAGCACTTAACAGCCCACCCACTCATTTGGGGCCTTTGGGGTCAAGTGAAATGTTTGCAGCTGTACCAGATCTTTATTCTCAGAAACCAATGTCCTGGAAATGACCTGGTTGTCCAGATTGACATGCTAAACCACAGTTTAAGATCAAGTTATTTACTTGACAAAGTTCGGATTATAATATTCTGGTCCTGTCCTGCCTTCCACATAGCTGAGACCATGTTTGTTCTGTCCTCTGCATGACTTCCCATCAGATAGCTGAAGATCGCTATCATATACCTACTGAGAAGGAAGACCTCGGTTCTGCATTAGGGAATAGGGGAGAGTGTTTCATGGAGAAGATCACTTGGATGAAGATGAGTAGATACTGCCATGGAGACTCCAAGGGAATTCCAAACAAGGAAGTTGTAAATAGGCTCAGCATTAAGAAAAGTGTATGTAGCTTGATGTAGGAGGAAGGGAGAAGAGGGTCTTCCTCCAGAAATAATGTGGAGAGGTCTATGGCATGTAAATACTCTTCTGTCCATATTGAGGAGATGAGATTTGACCCTGTAGACGTTCTCAGCCCAGGTTTCTTGGGAGAATTAGGGTGTAATGCCTGCCAGCGTCCACTTTTGGTGGTGGATTCCCTTTCTCCTGTGCTTCGACAATGGTAGAGTTGTGTGCCATTCAAGAGAAGACAGAGAAAATTATCACTCAGGTCATCTTTTACACTCTATGGTTCAGATGATAAAACCTGCTTGGGAAAGGTAGAAGTTTGATAAACTTATTTTTTAAATGAAGAGTTTTATGTAAGAGAATAAGGAAATGAGATTTTCATTTTAGAACAGTTGTTGCAGAATAGAGGAATCTGAATCTAAAGTCAGGAAGGCCAGGGAAGCGATAATAAGTATAAAAGAAAATCAAGGCTGAACAGTGGCAGCCGCGATAAGATGAAGGAGGAAAGAGGAACAGGAGCTACAGGGAACAGACTTATGTAGGTTTAAGGTCTCAAGCCTTAAGGCATATTCGGTGCTACCGTCGCATCTTCCTGCTTTCCGTCATCAGCTCCCTTCCCTCTCCACAGTGGTTCTCAGACAGCCCTCCCTCATCCTCACCCACTTTGGTCTTTCCCTTTCTCAAACATTTCCTCTGCTTGACTCCCCTTCCTACCCTTTACTGCTCCTCTACTGAATTCACTGGTCTCCCCTTGGCAGTTTTCATGCCAGAACTTTTTTTTTTCTCAGCCTCTGCTGCGTTTATTGGCTTGCCCCAAAGGCAGTCTTTTCTGTTTTTACACTTCTTTGAGTGTTGTCATCCACTTTCTTAGCGTCATATACAGGTTAAACACAGTTAGGCACTCTGTGTGCGTGTGTGTGTGTGTGTGCGTGTGTGTGTGTGCACGTTTGTTCTCCCCCAGCCTCTTCTCTGGACTCTACACTTGGCTGTTCGGCTGCCTCTACCCACTGCCAGCTGACTGACTGACAAGCAAATCAGAGGGAACATGTCTAGAAACAAGCTCTGTGTCTCCCTCCTGTATGAATTTGTTCCTGTTGATTCCACATCTTAATAAATGGCAATACCTTTTACTCAGCTCCTCAGGCTAGAAGGCAAGTTACCCTTGACTCTTTCTCATTCCACATCTAGTTTGTTAGCACATTCTCTTAGCTCTGTATTGAATATGGATTCTGGAAGCGAACCACTTTCACCTACCTTCTTGACTACTTCCATTAGTATAAACAGTTCTGATCTCTCTCCTACATTACTACAGCTACTTCTTAACTCAGAATTCCTTCCTCTTTCCTGACCCCTCTTTCCTTGTTAAATCCATATCCGCCAAGGCGGAGACTTTTAAACCAAAACTCAGGTTATGTACTCCTCTGCTTAAAAAACCTTTCCTCCTCCTCATTGCACATAGAATAAAACTCCTGTTTCTTACCAGGTGATCTATCTCTTAGCTTCCTTTGTGAACTCATTTCTCTCTGCTGTTACAGAGTCTCTTTGCACCAACCTGGCCTCCCTGTAGTTCCTCAGACATGGTCCCCATGTCCCCCTCAGAATCTGTAGAATAACTCTTCTCTTAGAGGTGCTGTCTTCTTTCTGTTTCGAATAATCTGGGTGAGCCCTTTTCTGATCATTTTGTCTTAAACAGGCCGCCTTCTGTCCCCAGGCACTAACTATATACTCATTCTGCGTGTTTTCATCCTAGCATTTACTTAGGATTACATTAAATATCCACTTCTATATTTGTAGTTTGTCTTCCCTCAGAATATGGTTCACAGGGCTTTGTTGACCCTCATCTGCTAGGTATTCAATAGGTATTTGTTATTTAATTGATTGTGATTTCAGGTTTTTACCCATTTTTGAGTTTGAGATACATAGGGAGTACTGGAGTTCTATAGGTGTGTGTGTGTCTCAATCTCTGGAGGGAGTTGTGACTCTGCAATCTGGACTTGGGAGTTCTTTCTTTATGTGATGGTAGGCAGCTAAGATCATCTCTGCAGGTCAGAGAGTAGGACAGGAGACCCTTGGAGACAGAGCTTTGGGAACCCATGTATTTGAGTTGCAAGAGAAAGAACATTTGAATACTGACCCACCATCCTGTTTACTTACCTCTGTAAGACTTTTTAAGGAGGTGTAGAGCATACTTAACATTTTTTTTGAGATAAACCAGCAGTGGGTGGTAGACTGAACAGAATGTATATGTAAAGGATCATGATTGGCTGGCATGCCGGGCCTAAGTCCTTGGACTCAAGTTTAACAAGGGCCAGTGTCAAATTCTGTAGTCAAAACAGTCTTTGGGACAATAGGTATGTTGTTATAGTTCTCCCAGGTTTAAAAACAAAAGCCTTGGGGATTTTCTTTGACAGAGCAAACTGTGATTAGGATCCTGAAATAGCAAGTGCAAGTTTAGACTAACTTAATAGACGTGTTGTCCTCAACCCCGGCAGTGGACATTCTTGGGCCTCTGAAGTAGGGAGATCACATCTGGGTACCACATTTTTAAAAAAGACTTAATCTAGAATCTAGACTCTAGATTAGATCCAAGATGTTAGACAATGTGGAAATCGTAATTACTATGTGAATAACAGCTGAAACTTGTGTTTATCTTGGAGAAGAAAAAAGTGTAAGAGGATGTATGATGGTTATCGCCAGACCAAATATGTGAAGATAGATTTTTTTTTTTCCCTTCTGTCTAATGGGTAGAAATAAGATTAAGGAGCATTAAAGCAAGGTCTTAATGACTATGGGAAAGAGAAGGTTAGGATGGACCCCAGATCTGGAATCTACTTGGTGAGGACAAAGAAATTGATCCAGGAAGTCCCAGGAAAAGTGATCAGTTAGAAATCAAAGACAGAAAACCGTGAGAGTCTTCCATCCTATGTAGGCTAAGCTGGCAGGCATCTTACTCTGAATGGGACTTAAATAGTAGAAGAACAGAGGAGAACTTGAGGCCCACTGAATTGGGGTAATAGGCTTGGGGCCCAAGCAGGGAGTCTCGCATCAGAAGCAGTTATGAACTCAGTTACCAGAACTGTAGGAAAGAATCGGACCTGAACCCAAAGGAGAACTGACTTGAAACTGACCAGCTAGCCTATCTATTATTGGGATTGGTTGCATGGAAGGAGTATATGTGCTGAAGAGGGCATCACAGGAATACTGGAGTATTGGCAAAGGCAGATTTTAAGGAGCTAGGTTGTGACTAAACAACATTTTACTAGCAGCCTGACTGCCCAGTGGGAGAAGGAGCTTCCTCAGGAAACTGAACATCACTATAGATACCCAAGCAGAAGCTAGATGGGCACCCTCAGAGTACTAGAAAGAATTTCTGCTTTGATGTGGTGGATAGAATTCATGATTTTCCTATTCCCAGATCTTGTGTTTCAGTAAGTTATAATGTATGCATTGTTTGATTAGTGTTTTGAACTTGGGGAAAAGGTAATGTTTCTTTTATTATATTTCAGGTGGCTGAATATACTGTCCTAGAAGGAAAACTTCAAAAAACCCTAATTGACTTAGAGAAGCGAGAGCAGCAGCTTATCATTGCAGAGTCAGAGGTAACTGTGTTCATCTGTTGTATGTCTTTTTTTCCCGGAAGCCATGTACAAGGTACATGTTTTTATAGAATGCATTTCATAAAAAGCATTTCCTGGAAATTGTCTTGTAAGCATCTTGGAGAAAACTGCTGTTCAGCAGAGGAAAGCATCTTTGACCTGTCAGAAAGTGAGGAATACACAGCGAAGTGTGTGTTATTTGGAATGGTTCCTAGCCGGCCAGCCAGCTCTGGCTGACTTCTGCCATCCGCAGAAGGACACTAACCAGGATGTGGGGGGAGGGATAGGTGCACTGCCGGGAGCACAGAGCAGATTAGCACAGGCTGAGGAGCCTAGAATTTGGACGTCGTTCTCAGCAACAAGGGGATATCCCTCCTGGATGCCCATTAAAGGTCAGATCCCAAGGATGGATGAAAACTTCCGTCAATACTATGTCTAGTTAGCGTTTTTGTTAGGTCTTAATAAATTTTACCATAAATATTTATTTCAGTTACTACCCAAGTCGTTTCAAATAATGAGAATTTCTTCCACATTAAATTTGTATGCCCCTTCACTAGCCAACTGTGTTCCTTAAAATTTTTCTCAGCATTTCACTCTTACCTTATCCTCCAACATTTTCTGGAATTTCTCAACTGATTTAGATGTCTGACCTTAAATATATTTGTTTCCAGTACGAAGGCTCTATTACCTTCTATGTGATTATGCTTAATCACATAGAAGAAATTTCTAAAGAAGAAAAGGAACTTGGGTATATTTGTTTAGGTAGTATAGTGGGTTTTACTCAAATAGGAATTTTAAGTGATTAGGGCCTTTTCAATTGAAATTATATAAGCCATATATGGAGTTTTGGATATACTTTGTATTTTAGAATTAAATGATGATGGGTTAGCACTGTGGGTTCAAGTCCCATGTGCTATCAGTGCAGAGCCTGCTTCAGGTTCTCTCTATCCCTCCCTCTCTGCCCCTCCCCTGCTCACTCCCAAGTGTAAATAAATTAAAAAATTTTTTTTAATGTATAATTTCAGTGTGCTTCAACATGAACTCTAATAATGGAAAAGAATATGAAAATAAATTTGTAAATACTGTGAACCTTTGTGTATAAGGATAATAGAATATCGAACAGCACACCGTGGCCGAGCCTTTAAGCCAGCCTCATAAAGACACACCTGTTTTTAGGTTCAAAGAGAAAGGAAGGAACTGAGATCAGAACGTGAACGGAACCTGCGAGAACTCCAGGACGCCACCCGCAGGGCCCGAGAAGATTGTGCGCACCAAGTGGAACTAGAAAGGCTAAAGATAAAGCAGCTGGAAGAGGACAAACATCGACTGCAGCAGCAGGTGGGACCATATAGCTGTCACCGCGTAGGGTTTGTCTGTTTGCTAGAAAGAGTTTACTAAGGAGTTAGAGAAATTCCGAGTGGTTTCACCTATTGAGCGTATTGATTGCACCAAGATTCCAATATACTTTAAGCCAGTTCTTGTTTTCCTAAATCAAAGCTAAAGACTGCGTTGGAATACTCTTCCTTCCCTTGGCATTATTAGCCTGAGACTGAACAATTAGCCTGAGACTGTAACCCCACATTTTTTTCCTGATAAATTGCTTTTTGGGCAACATCTTGTGCACGTGTCACTGAACCAAATTCATTCAAGAACGCCGGTTCGTGAGCGAATCACCTGTGCTCCTCAGCCTCCCTCACCTGTCAGCCTCTCCCACCCCACACCCCGTCCCCGTGGCTCCAGCCACTTGTGAGCAAAGCCACCAGTCACTTCCGTTTGGGTGCTCTTGCCTCTCTTCTTCCTTAACCCCGCTCTCCTGTTTTCCCTCTCCTTTCTGGCCACCCCTCAGGCTCCTTTGCAGGCTTCTCTTTCTTTTCCTGGCCCTGCAATATTGGACCTCCCCCACGCTCTTTGGACCAAACACGGCTTCAGAGACCGTCCCGTTTCTAGTCTTTCCCAGACTGACATAATCAGCTTGCAGGGGAAGAAGCTTTGTGGCAAGAACTGGTATTTTGGAAAAATTATCCCAGGCACTCCTAAAACCTAGTCTGAGGTCTGGGGAAAAACCTAGCCTGGGAGCAGCACAAGTTTCTGGGGTGCGGACATTACTAAGCCCGTAACTGTGAACATTTCACATTTTTCATATATATGTGTATATATATATGAAAATATTGTAGGCGCTAACCCAGAACCCGGTGACCTATACGCAACACAGAATTCTAACCAGACAAGTAGAAAGATCAAAGAGACCTGTATCAGTGAAAAGTGATGAAGATAAATATATATATATTCTAATACATAAAAGTAGGTTGCACAATTCCAACAATCAGTGTCGTTTATGGACCATTTAGCAAAAGATAAAGAGACCAGTGTGCCTTAAAGCTTACTTCTGCACTACCTGATGTTAGGCACATTAATTGTTTATGATAATGTCTCTGGGTGCCTGGGTGGCTCAGTTGGTTAAGCTTCCAACTTCAGCTCAGGTCATGATCTCATGGTTCGTGGGTTCAAGCCCCGTGTTGGGTTCTGTGCTGATAGCTCAGAGCCTGGAGCCTGCTTCAGATTCTGTGTCTTCTTCTCTCTCTGTCCTCCCCCGCTCGCCTTATGTCTCTCTCTCAAAAAAATAAGATGATAGCATAAATCATATGACAAATTTATGATAACGTCTCTGGTGGAAAAAATACCATATTTTAAGTCCGTTAGCTTTTGTTTAAAATAGAACTGAAAGGAGAGAAATGCTTGAGAAGGGTTTTTATTCAAATTGAAAAATGAATGTTTGGATATTCAGAGAGGTAAACTTCAGTCATAGGAACAGTTTTCAGGTAGTAGAGTACCTTATTACCTAAAGATGCTAGATAAACCCTAATGAGAGTTATTTGTGCTTACTGGCATGAAACAAGAATTGATTGTGGAAAATTTAAGTTCCATTTTTTCCACAAATTTTCTTAGCATTTCAAATTCAGTTAAGACCTATGTCTTAGTAAGACATCTTTAACAGTCCCTGCATTTGATTCAAAAAATAAAATCCCAGGTTTGAACGAACATTTTTATATCCTGTTTGGTTTTTTTGTTGTGCTTCGGTAGTTTTGCAACTGTCTTAAGGGTCTGCATTGAGTGTTGAGTCATGGTAAGTCTGTTTTCCTTAATTTTAAAAGTCTTGCCTACTCTCATCAGAGCATTATTGTAGGGGATGAATAGATCTGAGACCTGTGCATGTCTCTGCTGCCAACTAGACCCTGGGCACTGCTGAGCTGAGCTTCTGAAACCCTCAGAGGTCGTATCCACAAAAATGAAGGGGCTGAGCCAAATCATCTTGAAATTATTTTAAGTTGTAATAGTATTTGAATTATGAAATTCTTACAGTTTCAGGGGCGCGCCTGGGTGGCTCAATCGGTTAAGCCTCCGACTTAGGCTCAGGTCATGATCTCACGGTTCATGGGTTCTAGCCCTGTGTCAGGCTCTGTGCTGATGGCTAGCTCAGAGCCCAAAGCCTGCTTCGGATTCTGTGTCTCCCTCTCTCTCTGACCCTCCCCTGCTCATACTGTCTCGGTCTCTCTCTCAGAAATAAAACATTAAAAAAATTTTTTTTAAAAGAAATTCTTAGTTTTGAAATGTAAGAATGTAAATACCACACTAAAATTAAGTTTTTTATTTTCATCGTCATTAGCTGGTATATCTAACATACGCAGTAGTCTCTTACACGTGACATCTTAAGTGTATAATATCAGTATTTCTATAAAGTGATTTTCATTTGCCGTCTAAAATTTAACAAAAGTGTTCTCATGATCCTGGTTTTAAAACACATTTCATACTCTTAAAAGGTCTTTGTATATCGTTCATTGGTTGACTGTCTAAAATTTTAAGATTACTAGATATCTTAATTTTCCTTATGTGATTATGGATTTTCTAAATTTTCTACTATAAACAAACTTTATAATAATAAAATGACTAATTGAATTCTGTAGCATTGAGCTTTGCATACTGGTCTTTTTAAATGGTTGTAATCTTTTTTTTGTTTTAATATAGCTTAGTGATGCTGAAAATAAGTATAAGATTTTGGAAAAAGAGTTCCATCAGTTCAAGGATCAGCAAAGCAACAAACCAGAAATCCGTCTACAGTCTGAAATAAATCTACTCACCTTGGAAAAGGTACCCATGTCTGTTGATGGCAATTTAACTAATTCTGGCAATTTATAAAATCAATAGGTGCTATTTGAATATAAAATGTACTGACATAAGAAGAGCATTTGAGATACATGACATTATCAGTACTTGAATTTCTTGGCTTCTATCAGTTACAGCATATTCTAGTTAGAGTCGTTGGTTGCAAAAAGCAGAAGGGACTAACTCTAGGAATAAAGGAATCCATAGAACTCTCAGGAAGGCTAAGAGCAAGAACTAGGGGAAGCACGGCATGGCCTGTCCTGTCCCAAAACTGTCTCTTCTTGTTACTGCTGGTGCTGTCACTGCCTTGTTCCCTGATTTCTGTATTCACTCACTCTTGCCCGTGGTGAATGCTGTCTGCATATATTACTCACTTCCCTGTAGATGAGTGCCACACATAGTAGTAGCATTCGTTTCAATCACAAGCCTACACTCTCGAGCCCAGAAGAAGGAATATCCATCCTATTTTGTTTCTCGTGGCTGGAGACCAGGTCTTCCCTCTGTTTCTATGGTGAGTCTCCACAAACGGGAAAAATGTTCTGCTTCTAGGCATTAAAACGTGTATAATGTCCAAAATGTGTAATGTTAAGTCTCAGAGTATATGCTCTTGCATTTTATCATTTAATATTTTTTAGGTATTAGTAAAAAGATAGAGCCTACCCAAGAGATGTCTCAGGTAATAAACAAGAGAATAATCTTCCGAAGGTACAGGATTTAATGGTGTCAGCCACTGTCTGTCATTTTCCACTAAGCACTCTGTTGAAGGCTTCCTTGCCCTTTTTCCGCTGCAGATGTAGCCACTAGGGGGCGCTATCAGAAGATTGGTAGGGGCTAGTTAGGAAGATGCCAGGCTAGTTCAGTCTTCTCTGTCTAGGTCTGTGTGTTTCCCTTACTTCTGTTAGTAGGTGCCTTTCTTTATGGTTTCCTCTCCCACCAGCTTCCCAACCCTTCTCTCCAGCTTGCCGTGGGCCGTCCCTACTGCACTGAACAGTCCCTGTTCCTGCGTTCCTGGTAGGAAGAACTGCTCCCCCTGGTACTTGTGGTCCCTCCTGCCCCAGAGACGTGGGGGCGGCCACTGCCTCATCCCAGCCTCTCTAGCATTTACGCTTTTCCATTGCCTACATAACCAGTTTCCTGGCCAGGATGCTAATGGACACAATTGGTTTCTCATTGTCCAGCAAAGATGTATGCCCCTGGGTGCTGTGCTAAATGCTACTCTGAATGATTAAAAAAAGGTTTAAGAGAGAGTCAAATGACAAGTCCTACAAAGAGGCAGGGAACTTACCCAGATAATTAAAGCGAAAGGCAGATGATAGATGATGGCTGGTACCATCTAGTTCTCTCTTACTAAATGCCGTGAACACAAAGGGGAGACAAAGCTACTTCTACTGAAATCAACACTGAGAACTAAGAAGGAAGACTAGATATGGAATCTAAAGGACACATTAACAGATGAATGTGTGTGGGAGGGTATTCCATATTAGAAAGTCTGTTGCATATTTGGGTAATCGCTTGACTAGAACTTGGAGTTTAATTATTGTGGTAGTTGCTTGAAAATAACAGGGTTGATAAGAGAATGCTGATAATGCAGGTGATTTTTGGCTATATGTGGGGAGGACCTTAGATGCTAAGTTAAAGAATTTATATTTCATCTGGTAAGAAAAGTCAGAGATTACTCACCAGTGTATTGCATTGGCCTAATGGATGTTAATAGGCGTGAAGAATTTTCAGTTCAAGAAGAACTTTTTGAGGAGGTGGAATTATGGTTCTAGGCCGGTTACATGTGAGACTCTAGCAGAAAAAGTCAAAGTGGAGAAGTTCACCAAGGGGTTGAAAATGGGAAAGTATGGGGCACCTGGCTGCTTAGGTAAGTTTTCGACTCTCGATTTCAGCTCAGGTCATGATCCCACAGTTCATGAGTTTAAGCCCTGCGTCAGGCTCTGTGCTGATACTCGGGGCTGCTTGGGATTCTCTCTCTCTCTGCCCGTCCCCTGCTCACTCTGTCTCTCAAAATTAAAAAAACATTTTTTAAAAAACAGGCAAGTATAATAGGAAGAGGGGAAAGAAGTAGAGATACGGATTTGCAATCACTGGAATAAACCACCTTACATTTGGATGGAGTGGCCTAAGGTGTGTGTAAGAAGGACAGCCGGAAAGTTGGCATGAACTACAGCCTCAGGGACAAAAAGCAAGAGTCAGAGAAGGAGGCTCAGAAGATCCAGAGACCTAATAAAAATAGGCTAGTGCAGTGCTGACAGGGGGAGTGCCTTGGAGAATAAGGAAAGAGAAGTCCTCTCTCAGGACAGGCAAGTCAAGAATGGTGGGAGAGGGGCCTATGTTTTGCAGGTAAGAGATTACTAACTTTGAAGAAGTGAAATTGCAGAGGATTATAAAAGTTTGGCATTGGGGGAAAAAAAGCACAGGAAAAGATGTAACCCAAGGGCTTCACATTATTGAAAACTTACATGGTGGTGGGAAAATCTTTGAATATATACATATATAGTTTTTGAGTGAGCCGAGGAGGAACAGAGGGAGAGAAAGAGACTCTCGGGCAGGCTCCAAGTCCAAGGCCGAGCCTGACATGGGGCTCGATCCCACCACCCTGGAATCATGACTTATATTCAGAGAGTCTGAGTCACAACTGACTGAGCCTCCCAGGTACCCCCGAGTATTTTTAGACTGAGGATAAGAAATTTTTAGACTGAGAGAGAAGGGGATGAGTGGACCATAAGAGTTAGTTTTAGGAAGTAGAAACGCTATCTAAGACAGAAAGGGTGAATAATACGTAGAAAACTTGGAGATAATAAGAGTGTTGGTAAAATAATTTTGGGGGCGGGAGGGTTGAAGCAGGAATCTCCCTGTGCACTTAACTGCCAAGCCTTGTTGATTCTGCTTCTTACATACCTGCAAAATCTTTTCATTTCTCCATTTGATTCTTTGGCCTTCTCATTTCTCTATCCGTGAACTTGAATTCAGTTGGACATTTTTAATCCCTCTTAAAAAAAAAAAAGTTGATTTTACCTATTTGGAGAGAGAGAGAAACCCATAACTCCTCTTTTGATGAAAATCAAGTATTCAACTATTTCTCTCTTTCTAACTGGGAATGCTGTGGTAGCTACCGCAGGTAGCTGAAGTGCACAGATAGTGTGTCAGCCATTCTCACCAGCGCTGTTATGTAAGCGTCAAAGAGTATTTTAATTGTACCTTCAGAGACCACATATCTCAAAATTAGAACCTTATCTTCTCTGAATATAAACTTGATGTCTATCTACCAAAGAAATAAATTTTGAGTGATTTCTTTAAATCTCGTTTTCCAATTGTACTTATACCAAAAAGGTAAAAATCAGTCAACATATCAAAAATGTAAACAGTGTCATGAACTTGGAAAGGGCAAGGGGAAAAAATGAATAACTCAACTGCCTCTTTATCAGACCTAACGAATTCATCCAACATGTTTTAAGTGTTTAGTAAAACAAGCCTTCTCAGCTCTGGTAAAAATTCTTGGTACATTTTGTTTGGAGCCAGAAGAGGGCAGAATCCTATTTCTTATCGCCAAGTAATAACAAAGACCTAAATGTGCAAAAAGAAAGATCTAAGTGAAAAAGTATCTCATTCAGTGTATAACTTCTGGTTAGGTGTAATCGAGAGCTTTTTATTTTCCGATGACCTATACTCTTCGGTTTAACAGAAATACTTCCATTTTCACTGACATGGTATAAAAATAAGGTATAGTTTTACCAAATGTAATTCTTCATTCCTTTCATTAAAAAGTGAATGGTTTATAATTTGCTTTTAGGTAGGAGTGTCTCTTAGATGGCTTAAAGTTAGGTTTTTAAGTAAATGAAATAAGGAAAACCTTATCAATTTAGTAGGGCAGACTGAAGTTGAAGATAAATGCCAAAGTTTATGTATTTATGATTATTTGGTAGCTACCACCTGTCCACGCTGCCTTAAGGCAATGGGAAAGATAGGAGAAAAAGTACATGATCCTTTCGGGACCACACTTCTACACAGTCTGTAATAAAATTGCAGACATGCCTCGAGGAGCCTGAAGTGACTGTGTGTGATCAAATACCAGGGGATATAGGAGGAGTTTTCAGTAAGCAGAGAAGAAAAGTGACAGGCTTAAAGAAGTTAACTGGGCGAGGGGGGTGATCCACAGGACCCCAACCTATGGGCTGGAATCAAGGGTTTTCTGTTGAGGAATACCAAGGAAATAAGTGCAGCCAGTAGAACAGAAGTTCAGTTCTGTAGCACCTGAAAACGGGCAGAGGTGTGTAGGTTCAAGACTGCAGGCAAATGGCAGCAGCAGCTTATTTGAGAATAAAGTGACCCAACAGTGGTTGGTGGGATTTGATTTGTAGACAGAAAAGCTTGGAGACTGAGGAGACCATGGAAGATAAGTACGTGGGCTAAGGAAAGGGCAGTAGGAACAGAAAAGAATAAAACTGCCAAGTTCTGCCAGGGAGAAATCTCTAGAGTTCCTTGTGGGAGACTGAAAGTGGGGAATAGGGGATCGGAGACACACGCAGTGCCGTCCGTTGAGCAGACAGTGAGGGTTGTGGGCATAGAAACAGGGAGATGGAGAACCAGCAAACACGGGTTTATGCTTTCTGCCTGCACTGGCCTCTGAACGGACTCGGTCCTGAGGTGAGTTCTCACGTCAGAAATCTGTAACTTGGTTCATGATGTAAGTGACAGGCTTGCCCAGGCTCAGGTCTACTCACAAGAAGAGCTGGTCTCAACCCAAGGTCTTTGACTGTCCTGTTCTATCAGATCTTTAGTCGCATGCATGTTCCTGGGTACTGGGTCCCTGTGTTTGTTTAGAATCACAGAGGCACCTATATTCTTAAAAAAAAAAAAAAGGAATCACTGATGAGGTCATAGGAATGCATTAGAAAAGTGGGGTTTGTATCTGAAATTTGCAAACCATAGGTGTTTTTTTGTTTTTAAGTGTGACTGACTATGCAAATGTGATTTTGAAAATCATGGCAAAACTGATAAAACCTATCCAGCCTTTTCTGTTGAGTCAGTCCATGGGATATACTTGATCCCTCTGGGTTCATCCCTTCGTAACCCTCATCCTTGGGCCAGTCCAGGCTACCAGACCTTCTCCAAGACCCATGGACACGACTGCTTTTACAATTAAATACTATCCTTTTATCCCAGCACTATAAAAAGATTTCTGCTATTCCTCTGACTTATGCCCTACTGTTAAATTACCAAGTAATATGTATAAATCTTTGGGGCACAAGTAGAAGAGGTCACCTTTGATAATCTCAGAGCATTTATTCAACTTAAGACCTGTAAGTCTAGTTGTGAAATGTCAACTCCTTTAAATCCAAGCACCAGGGATCTGTAAAGCAGAAAAGACTGTGACTCCACGAGTTCATATATTACTGCAGAGAATGTTCTGGCCTTTTGTGAAGGGAATTTGGCAATCTGCTCTTCCTTTCTGTTTCGTATACGTTTTCTAAAGTTTGAATTTTGGGACAGTGCCTTCGGTTTGATGTTCCTGCAAAACATGAGGAGTTGTGTGCATGGGAAAAACTAGCTTTGATATAAAAAACTGAGACCAGTTTAGAGTCACAGTCTTTTGCTGTAATTCAAGCAGATTATTACATTATCACTTAAATAGTAAAACTGTCTGTTGGCTTCATGAATTTGTTTGGTATTGGTTTGAAACACTGAGAGCGTGCATTCCAGAACATCGCCAAGTTGGCTTCAGTTCACGCACAGCAGATTGCCTGCTGCAAGTATAAATAACCATTTTTTAAATGGAATCACTTTCATGTTTTTCTTTATATATACGAGGAAACATAGAAAATCAAAGTTAGATGAGTGTTACGAGGAGCGTTATTCGTCCTACCCTCAGGTTTATTTTAACATTCTTAACATGCTTTTCCCTTGGTACTCTTTCTCAGTAAACTGCTTTCTGATAAAACATCTCCCTGCTTCCAGCATTCTCCAATTTTTGCCAGAATAGTGTTAGAAGAGTATCTCTGTGGCTCTTTGGGTTGTAACACCAAGTTCCATGTCCCGATAGGCCCCCAGAAGGAAGAACTTGGTGTCTCAGATGTCGAGTGCCAGCTAAATTGGAATGCTAACAGTAAGGGCTGCTTTTTGTAAAAAAATGAATGTTTTTCACTCTATACACGTTTTAATACGTTTATAGTAACTGTCTGGAGGTTAAGACTGATTCCGTTCCTTTCAGTATAGGCTGTTAGGCAGTAAAAATACGACTATATTTTAAACAAGAAAATGTTCATGTGCCATAATATTTATACTAAATTATATAACAGTTTTAGATGATGTCGTATGTTACACTGTATAAACTCTTTTCTTAAGCCAGACTCTTTGTATATATTATCTTTCAGTGATTGTACACAGAGGTATAGTGTTTCACTTGATATGATTTTAATCACTGTTAGGTTGAACTTGAAAGGAAGTTGGAATCTGCAACTAAGTCTAAACTACATTACAAGCAGCAGTGGGGACGAGCTTTGAAAGAACTTGCCAGACTTAAACAGGTATGTAGTTTACAGCCGATGATGGATTCTTCTTTTTATGTCTTTTCCCTCGATTCTTTACAAGTATGCATACTTGGCAATATGTGTTATGTTCTTATGTGGACATGTGAATCTCCAGAACTATTTTCGAGATTATGAGTGGAGGGACTTTTTAAAAAGATTTTTTTCTTCATTAAAAAAAAATTACCTTTTATTTTTTTTTTTTTTGATTGCCAACTCTCCTCCTTCCCAGAAGAAAGTGGGAATTTCTTTTATTTTCACTTAGAAAATGGCCGTTTTTTGCTCTTAGGATTAATTTCTTCCCACTGGAAGTAGCTTTCAGAAAAGAAATTTCAGAATAACTGAAAAAAATGACATGCCTTCCAACTGAACAGCTGACTTCAAATGTTATTCCTATGAGACCTAGTCATTTATTAAGAAAAGGAATCACAGAGAGTTTTTGCATAATTTTACAAGAGTTTAAAAGTGATAGTAGTTTCCTGAATTCTTCTTAGATTTCTTTCTTCTTCTTCTTCCTACTACCCAGTAACAAACACCAGAAACCTCAGGAGAAACTAAGCTTATTTTGGGGTGTAATTTGCTCAAATGATTAAGATCAAACAAAATGTGAGCAAAATTTTTCTTCAGATCCAGTCTACGTGGCCTAACACTTCAAACGTTTGTCTTTCTTTATCAGTTTATTCTGAGTGAAATTTGGCACATAGGGTCTTTCAAAATTGTATTTTTTTAATCTGTCTTCATGACCATCAAATGCTATTAAACATCTCTGTGGTCTTGTACTAAATGCCTACTGCCCTCAAAGAGAAGTACGTACAAGACCACATGAGAATAAATAGTACAGCTTGCCTTAACGTAGCTCGTAGAAGACGTGAGGTGGTAAGCGTAACATAATATTAAACAGAGTGAAAATATTGTATAAATGTTCACAGGACTCAGGATTGATGAGTGTACTGGGGGCCTCCTGTATTCAAAGTACTGCCCTAGATTTATTGGTGTTAGTAAAACTTAAGTCTTTCCCTCAGGGAGCTTATAATTTATTAAGAGGGAAGAAAATGATAAGAGTAACATTTATATTTAAGAGTAAGAGCCGTGACAAGAACCATCCCAAGCAGTCAGGAGGGGAAAGTGCCTCTATTTAATAGCACTTAGGTAGGGCGTTGTGAAAGAGGAGGTATTTGAGATAGACTTCTGGTGAGCTGGTTGTGATCTAGGAAAGCAGTGAGGGAAATGCTGTAAACATAACCAACGAAATGATTACAGCAAACAGGCATGAAGGTGGAAAGTACAGACTGTACTTGGACAACAGAGGGGGGCCAGGTGTAGAGGGAATTCAGGTAATCAGGACTGGAACTTAAGTGGGAACGTGACACAGATTCTTGGGGGAAAAACCCCCAAAAGCATGGTTTGGGGAGATGGCGTATAGCCCTGTTTTTACCTGATTGTAACGCAAAGTTGATGATGATGCCAAAGGCTGAAGCCTAGGTGTCTGCAAAGCAAGTTGTGCAGTACGGAAATACGGTAGTAAGACACGGAGTGGAGACGGCTTGCGAACGTGGACGTCTCAGCTTCTGCAGACAGAAAGTGAGCAGGCATTCAGGACTGTGGAGCCGGTGCTGGGAGGGCGGCAGGCCTTAGGGCCAGCTAAAGCACTCCCTGCAGACGTGAGAATTTAGGCTGTGACACATCACACTGAGCATTCTGAGGTTTGTAGAGGAGGCCTGAGGGACAGTAATGGAACCAGCCGCCAGAGAGGACGAGGGTGAGCATGATGTCAGGCCCCTCGGACCTTGTCTTTTGATCCTGACCAGGATGGCAGTAGAGCAGGTAACTGAATTTCTATTTTGTAGATGAAAGAAGTTAAGGAAGGTGCACCAGATCACACAGGTCATGAGTGAGAGGGTGAGGATGCGAGCCACTGGACCGGGGTCCGGGCTGGTTCCCCTTTATGCTGCTACCAGGTTATTCCATGGAAGCCAAATCATGAAAGAATTGCAAGGAGAAGAAAGCCCTGGAAGGCTTTAGGGATTTCTGACAAGGTAGCAAGGCACAAGTCATGGTTTAGCACATCCTAGCAAGGAAAATGGCCTCATTGACTGTTAGATGGACTAGCTCTCATAATGAGAACTGAAGGGGCTTCAAGCGAGAAGCAGCTCCAGTCATGATGCCAAAGTAGGGAGAGGACATGGGGAAGAAGTAGAAGATAGTGCCTGTCATTAGACACATTGCCCAGTGAAGGCTCAGAGACCCAGGGAATGGTAATGAATCACGGGGCATTACCAGAATCAGTACTGAAAGGGTGGACAAGTGCGAGTGTCGAGGAGGGCATTTCCTTTGGAGAGATGAGTAATCGTCAATTACTGCAAATTTTCCCCACCCACTTACCTCTCCTTCCCGTCACATGCATTCCTGTACCCTTTGGTTACCTTCTGGATCTTCCCATTTAATGCATTCTTTTATATTTTCCCTTTCATCCTTTCATGTATTTTCTACCCCCTTGCCTGAAAAGCATTGACAGATAATTTGGCTGTTGGTTCCTAGTAATAGGAAGGCTATCACAAAAGTAACATGCTTCCCTTTGAGTTATTTTATGTATCAAAAAACGACAACAGCGTTAAATTTAGAATTCAACTCTCAACTATTTCTTCAGGAAAAGAGTCTCATTCTTTGAGTGCATTGATTTTCACAGACTGATTCTGTTCCTTATCCCGCTAACTTTCTGCTTTGGAAACAACACAGTAAACAACTTTTAGGTCCCTAGGAATCAGTGATGTTCCACAGATGACATTGGAAGTTCGGTACTTTAAGAGCACATGTAATCATAAGCCTTTGCCACGACTGCACCAAATCATGCTGGGCCGCTGACTCTTCTTGCAGGATTAGAATTAAGAGCTTCATCAGATAGGCACAATTCATATGTGTGAAAGTGCCATTTTTTTCCCCGGGAACTTTTTATTAAAAACACATTTATTGTGTTTGAATATAAAATTGGAATCCTCTATCTGCTTTTGTTCAGAGGATTGTTTGTGCAACTTCTTGTTTAAATTGGATTAGTACCATGTTAATTTTACATTGCCTCTGGTGAATAGCCACAGGGCTCTAATCTCTGCCAGTAATTTGTCACAGCAGAACCCTCTGGAGGGCCATACAAAACATTTGTGTAGTACAGGGATTAGACAGGGAAAGCCATATCTTAGATTGTTAATAAATGTTAATAACAAAACCCAGCTGGTAAGGCTTGGAAATAAGATCTAATGCTGGGTGCCTATTGCCAAAAGAATGTTTAAACAGATTTCCATTACTCAAAGGTGACCCAGTACAGTCAATTTGTGAATTAGGAAAAAAAAAAAAAATCATACTCTTCTAATGATTTAGGGAAAAAAATATCGTTTCTTCTGATTCCCAACCATGAAAATCTGTTTCCAAGCTGTAATTTTGTTGTTGTTGTTCTTGGTTAACTTGGGGAGGTGACAGAGGTAAAAAAAAATAAATAAATAACTGAGTCCTCACTAAGGAAGTGATTCCCAGACATTCTGGATTTGATATCTTTGGTACAACGTGTAGCATAGATCTTAAAAAATTCTGAGTGGTAGAAGACATAGAAGGGGAAATTTAGTTATTTTCCCCCTCGTCTCCATGAAGAAAACTACAGAAATATTTTTAAACCAAAGGTTTTGTTGTTCGACAGATACTCAAGATTGTTACTTTAAGTTTTGTTTTTTAAAGAATACGTTTAAAAGCGTTTCAAATCGTCCCCTTAGAAAACAATTGTGTCGTTAGAATAAAAGCTGCTCCTTCTGAAAAATAAATCATTAAAGACGTATGAATTTGTTCGTGTAGAAAATGTAACATTTTCATGATGTCACATAAATTAAAACTAGGTCTGCTTGTTCCCGGGACAGGAAACAGAACTAAGATTTTGGGTAGGATGTGGGTCCCTTACCATATTTGTGCACAGTAGATCTGTTTAAAACTAAGCTCTGATATATTTAGTTAAAACAACACAGGCTTCATTGGCTGACATCAGCACTATCTTGTCCAGTCTCCTGCTTATCCACTCAGGGTAATTAATTTGATTAATTTATAAGTAATTTAGCCAAGGATGGGATGTAAATCTTTGTTTAAGAAAACAGTTGGAGGTCCAAGTCTTGGTTAAAAACTGTGTCTTGAAACCATCCAGGCCCTCCTACTGACTTGTCAGCTCTGGGTTATTTTCAGAAAACTTGACTTGAGTTCCTTAGTTTCGTTGTAAGTTTTTCCCACAGACTTACATGGTATGTGTGAGCAGGAGAGTAAGTAGTGGCCACTTTTTAGCCGCTGTTTAGTCTAGTGTATGCATGTTTACATCTCCTCCCTGGATTTATAGGCAGCTCAGGCAAAATAAAGATTATACTCACTTGATTGAGGAGTCTTTAACCCAGAGCACCTGGCAGTGGAGAGGGTTTCTTTCTCTAACCTCTGATTTTTGTGTGCGCATGTATGATCATTATTAATGCCATATATTTGGTGAAAAATCCAAGGCATTTAACAGCTTGTCTTCTGTGTTTTGGAACTAGAGTGTTTCAAGTCTTATAGACTTACAGTTTTACAAGGCAACCTAACCTGACATAATTGGTCTTTAGTATTTTTTCCTGCTTGTCATTCTGCTTGCTTATTGTAAACACATACAAACTTGGCAGCACTGCCTAACACAGAAAATAAAACCCACCAGTGACCTCATCTCATCCTCAGCCAGAGGTAACAGCTCGGTCTGTTTTTGCCAAGCTTTCTTTTCCTCTCTTTCTTAATAATTGCTTTTTAAAACAAATAGATCCTAACAGTCCAAAGAGGGAAAGAAAGAAAAGATTCTTATACACCCCGCCTTCTCCCCCCCCCCCCTTCTATTTTAAGAAACAGAGCACTATCAGTGTTCTGGAAGCCCTCTGTGTGCTTTTTCTCAACCACATCCTCTCCAGAGGTGAGTAGTTGCCTAAATTTGGTATTTATTCTCCCTTTGCTTTGCT